GTTGCAGCAGAGGGGCAGTCTGACACAACGGTGTCTGACATGGAAGTGCAGATGAACCAAAGGTGTGGAACTGAATTCCTCCATGTGGAAAAAAGGCACCCACAGACATTCATCAACACTTGCTGAACGTTTCTGGAAACCAAACAGTGAATGGGACACAGGTGGTGGGTAGTGGTTCTCAGCAATGGCAACAGCAACAGTAGCTCACCACCACCACTGCAGTCTTCTACAAGTGCGGCATGCAGGCTTTTTCTCATCTCTGGTGAATACGCATCGCTAATGGAGGTGGCTGTGTTGAAAGATGGTGTTTTGTAGCTGAGAATTTGCTTCATCAAATAGCATCATTGTGCTCTGTCTGTTGTTGTTTCTACGGAAATAAATAGAAGGCATTCCTTTCAGAGCAACCTATGGATTTCCCAAGGTCACACAAGCGTACAGCAGGAGCAGCTGATCCTACACGTGCCTGTCACCACGCTTCTGCACTGAGCATCTCTTCTTATTCTCAACAGAACACATGCAAACACAGCAAGTGAAACATCTGTGCTGGGTACACAGGAAGGAACAAATGCAGGCCAGTGAGAAAAGCAGAAAATTAAGCAGATAAAGAGTTTTCAGTGATGACAGAAAATCCCATCTAGCAGGCATGCCCTTTATTTCAGTTCAGAGCACAAACACACTTCCTTACATAACAAAGTCATCAGCTCAGAAGTTATTTGACCATAATGGTAATTTTGATGGCAGTACATTTCCACATCCAGATGTGCTGAGGAAGTGTTTTTTCCTCGAGTGGTTTAATTATCCTCTGGGCCCTCGCATGGCTGAGCTGAAGCCAGCCAGTGGCACACTATGGTTGACATAGCACTGCTACAGGGAAGCTGTGTCACCAGTAGTGACAGCCACCAGGGCCCAGAAGGGAGAAACAAGGACAGGAAGAAAACGAATAAATGTAAAATGAAACTAGAAAATGCACTGCAGTGGCCTAAGTCAGAAGAATTAAGTATCTTCTTTAAATTGAAGCATAAAGGAAGTCCGTGATGGAACTGGAAAATATTCGTATGAGCTAGAAACCTGGAAGATTTGCTTATGGTAAAAAGACTTGTGGATTTTTCAAGGTACCTTTATGTATATGCTGCAAACACTTTAATATCACTGCACTGGCAAATTGCAGGGGTCAAGTAGCAAGCAGCATAAAGAAGGTTCTCTGCCTTCTGTACCTTTCATGATCTCACTGCAGAGCTATGATCAAGGCCATTCCCACCGCAGCAAAGACCAGCAAGAGTTTCCAGCAGTACTGCTCAGATGTGAGCACAACACCAAACAACAAATCAAAAGAATTTTGAAGTTTCACATATGCCTAATGCTAGCACCTTCTGGGACCATTACAGTTTACCTCAGGGCAGTCTCATTATTCTGTATTTCTTGGCAATTAACTTTCTTTATTTTACTTTTAACAATTGCACAATGTAACAGTTAAAAAAGGGTATAAGCAGATAAAAATACTATATACGTGGGAATATTAGCTGACCAATACCCACTTTCCCAGGAAGGAGAAAAAAATATCTGCAGTAAAAAACTCAGCTACCTGCTGCTTTCACAACAGCTTCATTTCTGATTGCCAGTGTCTCCAGTTGAAAAAAACAAGCAACATGGAGGTGAAATGAACCTGGTTCAGCAGTGCATGCCAGCTTTCAGCAGAAAAAGGAAGCCACTCACAGAGGCTGCACACCCTCCAATCTTTTACTTGTGTACTAGGACTCACCAACACTCCTCAGTGGTGGTAAGCATTCACTGCAAATATAGAATCATAGAATTACAGAATGCATTGGGTCAGAAGAGATCCTTAAGGGTCATCTGGTCCAACTCCCCCACAGTGAACAGGGACACCTACAACTCAATCAGGTTGCTCAGAGCCCTGTCCAGCCTGACCTCAAATGTTTCCAAGGTTAGGACATCCACCGTCTCTCTGGATGATTGTTCTGTTGCATCACCACCATTATTATAAAAACTTCTTCCTTGTATCCAATCCAAATCTCTTCTCTTGTAGTTTGAAACCATTTCCCCTTGCCCTATCACAACCGGCTCTGTGAAGGATCTTCACAGACATCATAGCTTCTCTTCTAGTGGGAGAGGCTACACCACTAGCAAATTAACTAATGTCATTTCCATCTCCTGGCCTAGCAGCAGGAGTTTCAAACTATTTAAAAATCCTCAAATAAGCATTTTCCTGGAATACTTGTGATCTAACCAGAGTTATCAACACCAGATTCCTAACTGCCCCACTTTCATATATTTGTATATCATCTTCTGCATGGACTGTACTAGAATTCAATGTGCAGTTTTTACACTTAACTGCACGTCACTGTAATTCAACTGCTGTATTTTCATACCATTAATTGAATGACTACTATAACCAGACCGTACTGATAACTGAAGGAAAATTCAGTTATTACTCATTATTAGTAATCACCTAGTGAGTAAATGACGATTTAACTATCAGTTGTCTTAGTCTGATTTCCAGTAAAGATGATGAAATCTGAATTCTGAGAAATACACGTTCTTTTTCTGTCATTTCCATTGCTTCAATAGGATGGCTTCTAGAGATTACTAACATCTAAGTGCCACTTCACCTAGTTGGCATATCTTTCTACAAATAGACATGAACTTCCAGTCTATTCCCATACTTCTTTGTTATTTTTTTGCGTTGTCTTCCACTTTTCTTCCTTCTATCTTCAACAACTAGAGAAACAACTCTATTCCCATGCTATGTCAATAACATGTACCATCATTTCTTCCAAAAGCAACAAACACTCTAATGTTGCAGGCTTATAAGACTCACAAAACAGACTCTTTGGATTAAGAAGCATCTTTAAGCATTTTATGAATACAGATGCTTTATATTAGGGCTGTTCCAAAAGCAGTATCTGCTAATTACATTGGCCTATGATATCACAGGTGGATATTGGTGGTATGGCAACAGAGGTTGAACCTTTCCAACAATCTCCCATTACATTTCCCTGCAGTCTGAAAGATGGCAGCAGGGGGACAGTCTGATACAAGGGTGCCTGATATGGATGTGTAGATAAAGCAAGAATGCAGAATGGAATTCCTCCATGCAGAAAAAATTGCACCCATGGACATATATCAACACTTGCTTGAATGCTCATGGAGACCAAACAGCAGATGTGAGCACAGCAAGGTGGTGGGTAGTATGGTAGTGACAGCAACATGAAAGACAAGTTGTGTTCCAGATGGCCATGCACAGCTGTCACATCACAAAATGAATGGCATTTCAACCAGCTCATGTTCACAAATGGCTAACGGTAGTGAAAATGTTGAAAAATAACCCTCTTTGTAACTGAGAATTTGCTCTTCCAAACAGTTTTATTGTGCATGTTGTAACTGTTGTTGTTTTCACAGAAATAAACAAGAAGCATTACTTTCAGAGCAATTTATGTATATAGCTATACCCCGTAATCAGAACAAAAAGTGGTTTGGACAATGCTGTATTCAAAGAATATCACAGTCAGCAGAATTCTGAAGTACAGTCTAAGTTCTTGTACAAAAGACCCCTGTGAACTGAGTTACACAGCAGAAACGCACTCACACAGCTACAGCGACTTCATAGCTTTCAGGCAGTGAAGAGGAAGTCATCTTTCATATGTTTTGCAGTTTGCAATTGTGAATACACACAAGACCACCTGTTCCATATTATATTCAGTCTTAGACATTGGTATCTTGCATCTCTCAGCATCACCTTCAAGCATTGTTCAGCCAGCTTTGCTTCAGTGCTCTGCAGCAGCTGCAGAATGTGAGATGATACCCAGTGAGCTGCCAGAACTTCATGCTTCTGAGAAAATCTTGGAGCTATTATTTAAACATTCACTATAGAGAACACATGCAGACAATAACAATTCTGCATTTTTATAAGTTATTTTTTAAGCAGGATGAGGCAAAAAAAAAAAAAAAAAGAAAAAAAAAGAAAAAAAGCCTGTCCCAATTCGTGAAAGAAGCACATCAGGACTGTTTTCTCCTCTACCTTCCTTCTTCACATATACTGTTTTGACAGGTTACCTTCCTTCTCATAGCTCCAACATTGGAAAAAAACAAACAAACAAAACCAACCTTAATCAAAAATAGAGAATTGCATCTCATCTTTCTTTTCCAGAAACGACAGAATGTGATCTAGTCACACTCCATGGAATACTTCAAATTTTGTCACTTTGTTAGCTACTAGAAACCTTAATTTTCACAAGCACTAGCATTACTGAAGTACAAGGGCTGTTTGGTTTAATTTTGTTCTTTTAGATTGTCCTGTGAGATTTGGATCTTCATTCAAATAGTCAAGATAAATTTGCTCTGCAATTACATCAATGCTGTAACCACGTCTCAGTGACCCATAAAGTATTTCTTCACTAAAGCATTAATTTTTTTTTTTTTTTTTTTTCTGATTTGATCCCTTTTAATTTTTCTCATCTTATGCAACAAAAAATCCCAGGCAAATTTTCACTACAATATTTCTTCCCCTTCCACATTTTGATTACTGACAGATTTTTCCAGGTCTAAATACATAGTTTCAGCTAATCCTTTTCAAAATGCAATATTCATGAGTTATATTCTTCCCAGAAGAATTTAGGCACATAAGTAGATACTACTGAAATCTTTGTCATTTGCTGAGTTTCTAAAGGCATTCCTGTCTGCAAGCACAGTGATAACCAATGCTACTGAGGAACTGCCTACTGCAATGGCTCTTTGAGCCACTGTTTTTCTTCCTTTAAGCAGCACAGTTAGATCCCAAACTGTCATCACTTTAGAAGGACAGCAGTAGTATATTAAGCCCTTACTGATCTCTCTTTCCAGCTACCAGAAACTTCTTTTTTGGAAAACTCAGTAATTGCCAGCTGTCTTAACTAAGCAGATGAGGAGGAGAGAGAGGGTCAGGTCACCCATAAATCTATTATGCACAAGTTATAATGCATCAATAAACAAACACAAGGTTTACATTATAATCTCTGCCTCTTTTTATTGTCATACTATAGGCCATGATAACAAATGTAATTTACTGAATACTTAAGACATACAAAAGAGTAAAGCCACCATTTCAATAGCTTCTTTTCATCATATTTACAGACGAAAACTAGGTGGCCACTCATACCAATACAAACTTCACACAATTAAAATTGCAGAAGAATCTCATAAAAATGCCAAGCTCTTTCATGACAGTTTCCCATGACAAAATTAGGTACTCATCCAAAGGAAAGCTTTACTGGCTTGCTCTCCTTTTGGTCCCTACCTGTCCTATTCTCCTACACATGCAAAAAAAAAGAAATAGAATCTACACAGACAAATTGTTAAAAGGCAATCTCACTGAGATCAAAGAATTTTATTTTGAATTCTTAGCTGTTAAAACAGCAAAATACACATGGCTTTCAGAGCAGGTACCAAATGCATTACATTCCAAATCTTTACCCCGCCAAAATCTATACAGAAGAATATTTCAGTACTACATAAAAAGTACAAAAACGTTTGAGAACAGCAACACTGAATTTCACATTGGGTCTTCTCTGCACAATTTGATGAATTAAAAAAAAAAAAAAACACCCTAAGAACAGAGGAATTTAAAACAATTTAAACAATTTAAAACAACAGGTTTTACATTCTGGTTAAGTAGCATTACACTTCTCCTTTGGTGCCATGTCTGCAGCACAGACTCATTCCTTTTAAATGCTTTTTAAATGCTAGATCATTTAGCCACCTTGTCTTACTTTAAGAGTGTACAACTTGAGTTCCTCTCTCTACTTTGCTTTTCTTGACTGATGTTATAAGTGCACTCCTCATCCAAGTACTGCCGACAAGAAAAAGAACCAAGACAGTTTCTGTCCACAGAAATGAAGTTTAAACATGCTACAACTGAAATAACTTACAATGTGTATTCAACTCTGAAAACCAGTCTAATAAGCTAAAGATTAAAACACTTTCAAATGACTCATGTCCACACTTGAAAGCAGCTTCGTTTGTATTTCTGCTTTATGTATCAAAATGGGATTGAGTTGTTCAGACAACCCCACTCACTTATAAAACTTCCAAAACAAAGACTGCTTTAAGTTGCAGATTCTAGCAGTGTAACAACAAGTGCTATATTATGAAAGACTATTTTTGGTTCATCATGTTCTTATAATCATCTTTGCAGAATTTAGCAACTGTTTTATAATCTGCCACTTCTTATAGTTATGTCCTAAAGCACAATCCTGGGGAGGAAAACACCATTTCCTGGATAACAACTTTGGATAAAGGAAAAATAGAGAAAGAAAAAACAACAAGCTAAGAACAAATATTTCAGATGCTTTTGACACCACTTCTTAAGTTAACACAGAATAGGGGAAATCGACAACATGATTCTAGTTTTCTTCAAGTCTCACTCCTTAGGAACTATAGAATGATCTCTTCTGCTTGTTAAGATGACATTTCCAAATACGCAGTGTGCAAGCTTCCAGAATACTTCAGCAGGTATTTTTTTTAATCAAATCTGAATATATCTGTCCAGTACTGAGTTAAGAACAACTTTAACTTGTTAACAGTAATGAAAACATCTATACATAAAGCAAGCTATTATATTGCACAAATTTTAACAAATACTTAAATATAATTACTCTTCACTTCTGTTTGTAGCCAATATTACAGTTTCATAAAGTATACTTTTCTCACAGTCATCAGTTGCTCACAATTTCCTTCAGCCTCCAGAATAACCTAGCTCTCAGGAAATAATGAGCAAGTTGTGGAGCTATTTTCCCAAACACATGTAGCTTTACTATGAGGTTTTAGCTATACTACTCGCTTACAAGAAGTTTGTACTGCCTACAGAACCACAAAGCAAGGCAACAGTAGCTTTGACACTTGAGATCCACCCACACAGAGCACATACTTCCAAGTACAGCACTTCCTTTCCTCCAACACCATGTTTTGACATGCTTTTCAATGTTTGTTCAGCCCTGCCGCAAGAGCACCCGAAGGGAATTATTTCTCATCAGTTTCAGTTATCTAGATACAAATCATTTCTTAAAAAACCCAAAAAAAAAACAAACAAACAAACAACTGCCTCAGATATTGTAACATGTACATTATATTCTAAGCACTATTTTTACTTTATAGGCAGCAAGAACTGCATGCCAAAAACTCAGAACTTTTCTTGTGACAGTGAAGAAAAACTTTGATGCTGGTTTGTATAGGAGCAACTAGCCTGGGAAGTAATTCCCAGAAGGTACTAATAACTTCGAATCATTCCAAAGCATGTTTCTATTTTTATTATTTGTACCATGGAAAATGCTAGCACACGAAGAAAACCATCAACTGAAGTACACTTTACATCTATTTCCACTCTCTGGTACAGAGAAATTTCTCCTTTTAAGAGACCGTACAAGTAACAGATGTTAAATAATTAGGCAATTCTTCTGCTAGTATTTCACTTACCAACTCAGTTATTGAAACACACAGAACTGATAATACACATTCATTAAGATCCCTCTTTTTTTTCCCCCCCCCTACCTTCTATTATGCCTAAATGTTATGTAACAATGGGGATATGAAACTCATTATTATCAAATACCAGAGGCCTCCTAGGAGGGGTTGATTCTTTGTCTGCTTTGTGCAAAAGCTTAAAAAGTCCTGTTCCAATATTCATTGGGATTCCCATGATGATGCACTCAGAAACACCTAGAGGGGAAAAAAGCACACCAACACACTGAACACATGAAGAACAAAAGTTCAGATAAACTGTAATTGCTTTAACACGCCCATTCTGAACATATCACCTATCAATCTCCTTGAATCTCACATGTGAAAACCAATCTCTCTTTACTAGATTAAATGTTATGCTTATCAGAATGTTTGATCAGTATGTTATTCAATGGGCGTTACTTACATTCTAAATTGGTAAAAATTCAACCTAACTTCAACATCATCTCTGCCAGTAACAGCACCAGAACGTTAGATTTTAAAGATGCATTTCACTTGGTGACAGCACCAGAAGGTGCACAGCAAATTCACTTTATATCCGTTTTCTGAGTTGGAGAAAACAATTCAGTCAAATCTGGCCCTTCAAACATCTGCAATTTTCCAGTGAAAGAGGTGTATTCACTACTTTAGTTTGTTGTTTTTTATTTATTGCAATTTCTTAATTCAAAAACTGCTTGGTTTGAACTTAAAGATTCAGTCTGTCTGCTTTATTTTCCTTTGCTACTAAGTTTCCACAGCAATGTACTGACATATCAGACACTCTGATGTACTCAATTTTTCTAATGAGCATGCCATATTAAAAGTAAACTATCAGAAATCAGGTTGTTTTTTTTTAATCTCTTCAGACTTCTAATCCAAAATAACACACACACTCTCAGAAATACGAGAATATGATCCTTCTCGTATGCATTAAAGAAAACCAATCCACTACAAGCAACAACAAAAACAGGTAATCCTATGGGCAGTAAAAAACAGTGCATTTGATCAAACATTGAAGACTGAAGGTTGAAGATTCATTTCCTTAAAATTCTAGCAAAATTTTACTGATCTTTTATGTCTACAAATGAAAATTCAGTATTTTTGCTCTTAGCTGATCGCTGCATTCTACTATAATGCTACCAAGCATTATATACTTAAAAACCTTATGCGTAATAGAAATCTTAGGTTACTTACTGTACATTTAGGCCTACTTCTTTGAACTGCCTTTGCAGCATACTTGTTAGAATGTATGAAGGAAATACCTTTCTAAAACCTAATGAAATAAAGCTTTCCTGGTTTCACATAGTAATTTTTCAAGCAGATCCAACTCCTGAACCATGGAAAAAACATTTAGATTGAGAATCATTCTCCCCTAGCAATACTTCAATTTAAACAATCAGGAGCCCTTTTCTCCCCATATCCTTTTGTAGTATCTGGCATTAGTCACATACAGCAGGAAACATTTGAACAGAAAACGTTGCTGTATCAAACAAGCCTGTTATATACACATGCATTTTAGCATATACTAGGATTTTCCTCTGCCCACTAAAAGCTGGCATTAGCAACACACAAAAAATGCTTGTCTTTTAGGTATGTAAAGCATTAAATCAGCTGTTCCTCATTTTCTCAGTTGAAAAACACAAGAACTTCAGAAGCCACACTGCCCAAAACTACATCCACACATTCTGTAGAAGCACAGATTTGAAATGCCATTCAGTTCAGCACCTATAGTTGATACTGAGCACCTACTCATTTTTCTTGGCAATGATTAAGTTCTCCTGTTCTGGAGAAGGAAAAGTGTGACTAAGTGTTCTCATAGCAATTCAAAGGTAACTCGTGATGACCAGGTCAGGCAGTTACACAGCTAGTTTTCTTACAAGAAAGATCACTTTCTAAAACCAAGATCACTTCAGTCTGAGGAGACAAGCAACAATTTTCTGTTCTGTCCATTCTGTTTACATATTGGAATCAAAATATTTTTCCTAAAAGGCAACATGAAAAGATCTTTAGTTTCCACACCATTCAAAACCAGATTTTACTATCTCAGTGGGAATTCTGAGAAAATACTTTATTTTCACTACTGTACAGAGTGGAATCAGTTCTGCACAGTATTTTTGCTTTAGCTTTGGACAGAATTTTTAAAAACATTACTGAAATCCCACTCATGTGAAATGCTGGACAGCCAGAAATTGTCAGAATTCTTAAAATGCAGACAGGTTATATAAAGATTTCTAATAGATATCATGAATTCTGAAAAGATTCTGTCTACAAAACACTGAGTAAGACTGACTACACTTTAAGATCTTCAAATACACATGAGCTAGTAAATCTTAGTGTATCACAGTTGTTTTATTAGAGTTTCTTGGTGCTAATGAAGTATAATGAGGAGTTACAGCTCCTGGATGATAAACCTTAGAGACATGATGAAGAGCATAAAATCTTAGGCCTCTCCTTTTCTCAGTTTAGTTTAACAGCAAATTCACATAAGTAAACTTGCTTAAGCAACATTAAACAGATGTCCAACTGCGATTAGTACAGAAACATATACCACACTTCTAGAATCAAGAAATACAGATCAGTCTCAGACCTGACATTTGTGACACCTAAGTTGAACAGAAAGCTTAAAAATGCCAAAAAATCTAATATACTTTGAAGAGGTTTAAGGCTATAGGGTAAGGACCCAAACTACAACAGGATTTGCAATACCTACCACAAACAGAGTCCTTCTGTCCAAAGTAGGCAGCATCAAAGAGATGGTCTGCAGTCTTTTCAAAAGAAGCCAGCATTAACACACTTTCCTTCATTTTTGCCAGTCCAAACCTGGTAATACCCAGCACTTCACCCTTGATTGATGGAGAAAACCAAAGAAAGAAGCTCAAGGTCAATTATGCTTAAAAAGAAAAATAAAGTGAACAACAAAAATGTACTTTTTTATTCTAACAAGTACATAAGACATGTAGTAGATAAAGCACTAGCTGCTATATAGCATTTTCATAATATGCTGCTTCACAGCTAAGCATCTTCAAGTCAGTAGCTCTACAGTAACAAGTACTTCAAAAGATATTCATGCACTACAGAAACATATAAACTCTAAATAAGGTATTTTGTGACACAAGAGTATCAAGACAAGAACGAAACAAACAGACATGAGAAAAAACACAGATAAGCTAGTTGCTGTGCTACAAAATTCTGTGGTGTCTTAGACTACAGCTATGAAAGCACTATACTGAAACTATTGCCTATTGTCTAACAATAAATCTGATTTCAGCTGCCAGAGAACAACAGAACATATTAAGTCTTCATTTGTAAAATCTCCCGATAAAAACACTTCTGTTTTTAAAACTATCTTGATGTATTTCTGCCTCTGTTTGTAACAAACATCCCAATTATAACAGACTCAATGCAGTTTTGTGGCGAAAGAATGCACGGTAGGAGCCCAAGAAGTGTAAAGTGCTGCACTCTGATGCCCTTTTTCCCATTGTGTGGCAGCTCTGCACAGCCAGCCCCAGGGACTGCTTCTGCTCAGTACAACAAAGCCCTACAGTTTTGAGAGAGGTCTGAACTTCTTTATGCATTTCCCTCAGATCAAACCCTTGTGCTCTGGCAGGCAATAGTGGAAAATCTGACTTCACTAAGTGGACCCAAATACATCTGAAAAAACATTTCGGATGTGAAGTCAAAAAAAAAAAAAAGTGAAATCAATAACAAACAGATAATTCTTTCATTAAAAAGTTCAGGAAGTTTCTTGATACTCTAAATGCAATCTGATTCTATTTGCAAGGTCTGTATTCTTTGACTTCTATGCACAGTACAGCTGCTTTGAACCCCATGTAGTGTTTTGCAAGGAAGCCTTAAATCGCACGCAGAATTACCCAGCTGATTTTCACTCTGCTATTTTTAAGCTTGATTTCTAGTATGAAATTATGATTCTCTATTCATTGTATCAACATGTCTTCAATTAAAATAGAACTTTCACCCACTCCCCATAATTCATCAGCCATTTTTGTTTGATACACAATCAACAATATTTAGTTGGTACAAATTACAATTCATTGAACTTTTAACTGATTCTTATCTCCCTGTCTGACTCAAGATTATCAATGATGGTAAAATTAATATGTATAAGCAGACCAATGTTAGACTGAAAAAAATAATGCACAGTACAAACCTTGTAAGTCATAAGATCAGACAGCAACATAACATGCCTCCTGTCAATGCTCATACCATGGTTCACCATTGTATATTGAATCTCATTGATAATGGTGGTTCGAGCAGCTTCAATTCCAAGTGTTTTCTCTACCTACAAGAAAGATTACATAGAATTAATGAATAACCTTAGACAACATGTGTGCCTGAACAAATACCACCCAATGTCAGATAACACTGACAATAGCATTTTGTACACCTTTGCTTTAAAAATATTTATTAAAAACTCTGAATTGTGATGCCAGTCAAATTATTCTCGTGTTAATATAACGCGATAACTATTAATGAAGTCAGACTTCATTATAAATAAATTGCAGCATCTGAACACAAAAAAGCACTTGTAATAAGGATGCTACTGGAAAAACAAAACCAGAACACAACTATACCAACTGCACCTTACCTCATAAGTGTTGTTAGAGGATGTTTTTGTTCCTTTCACTCCATGAGTAGCCATAACAGCTCGCAGGTTATCACCTTCAACTAGAAGTTTGTACTTTTCCTTACCACTTTGTTCATCAATATGGATGACAGCACGGGAAACCTCTGGTATACCCTGCACTACAACCTGCACAAAACAAAAAACAGGAGTTATTTCAATGTCTACAGTAGTGCAGTATAAAACAGAAGCCCTAATCAGAATTTAAACCCATTTTGAAACTTCACTCTTTGGAGCAAATACTAAATTTAAAAATATATGAAATCAGATTTTGGGCTCTTATCCACAGTACTGTAATGACATTCATACTGTACCAGTAACCTTACACACTACCTATGTTTTCTATTTTATGCTATCACACATCCTCACATACAGACCCATATCTCTGAATTATTATTACTGAATATCTCCCAAAAGAACACAAAACAAAGGCTTTGCTTTAACCTTTGGTAGTTCTTCTTTCAGGGACTGCAACACATAATACATTGAACTCTTGCTATTTTCACGAGGCGTCACACATACAACTGCTTCTCCATGGACAGCAACATCTCCAGGCTTCACTCTGAGTTTAGATATGCAAATTGAGTAGCGCACAGTCTCCGCATTCACCTGTGACAAGCATCAGTCAGCAACATCTCAATATCTCAGCATATGTAAATCTGCTCAAAGACATGTAGTAGACAATATTTTGGCCCTCCCAAAGGAAAAAAAAATAAAAAAATCAAGAAATGGAAAGCAAAAAAAAACAAAACAAAAAAGCCCCTAAAATTACTGTTAAGTTACATGATACACCAACCTATGCTGAAGGTACATATAGGCCTGTGTTCCTAAAGATGGGAAAAAAATTAATACTCGTGCACTGAGAATAACACGAAGAAATGAATTTACATTCTCATTTCCAAATACATGAAAAATTATCCACTTCACTAGTAATAAAAAGGTAAAAGATACAGATGTAATAGAGCCACAGAACATCCTTTCTATTTCCCCTTTCATAGACTTTTCATTCTTTTCTTTCATTTTTATTTCTGTGAAAGGATTAGGACACCCTCTGAAACCTTCCAAAAGCACGTTCTGGTTAAGAGCTGAAAAACCCACCTCTAATCTCAGTAGTCTAATGCGCTCCAAAGACAGCTTCACTAGGATGAAACAGTCATCTGGAAGAAACACTTCTTCAATATATTCTGATATCTTGAAGATGAAATAGTTAGCATATAAGGATGGTCAAAACACTTTATTGTAATTGACTAGTATTTATATTTAAGACATTACCAATAATACAGTTTTTCCTACCTCTCCTAACAAAGTCTTCTCAATTCTTCCTTTAACCAGGCGGGCAAAATCAGGATCATCATCTGTGTCCAACTGTGCTGTTATAATAGGTGTGCTACAAAGAACAAGCACACAAGAAAACAGAGGTAGAAAATTGCTATACTAGATCAGAGATGGCAACACGAATTACAGCTCACCTTATGAGCTCTAAGAGTGGCATTTAAGAACATTGAAAGACTTTTAGTCTTCTCAGACACATAAAGAATATTCATGTACTTTAGGTTGGTAAAAATTAAGCAAATCCACAAAAGATTATAACAACACAATAGTTACTATTTTGATGGCCTACACTACTCTGGTATTATTTAAAGAATAACTTCAAGGATATGCAGGTAGATTTAACTATCACTAAACACTAGAAAGCTTCACAATACGACAGATACCAGCAGAATAGTAAAAACTTGAGTAAAAAATTTGTCTCAAATTTCCAAACAAAAAGCAAAACAAACACAAAATTGTTCTATTTTTCTGGCTTTAAATCACGTAGTTGCAAAGACATTAGATTCTTCTTCTTTGGGTATTGCATGGATTCAGTATTGCCTAGTATGATACTGACAATAGGAAAATGCTATCACTACATTTTTCTATCAGATTTCACTTAGAGGGGGAATTAAAAATAAACAAGTAAATGTTAGCACCTAATTGCTTTTGAAGCATTAATAATTTCCTTGATTCTTGGCACACCCAGAGTAATGTTCATTGAAGCAACCCCAGCAAAATGGAAAGTCTTCAGAGTCATCTGTGTGCCAGGCTCACCGATGCTCTGTGCACAAAGAGCTCCTACTGCAGAACCAGGCTCCATCTGTGCCCTGACAAAGAAAGAAATAGTCTCATAAAAACACAAGAAACATGGAACTCAAGGCTATCCTATGCAAGCAAAGATAGAGACTGTTCTGGTAGATTTAATAGGATTTTATTAATTGTGAGGTTTCTTTTTTTTTTTTTTTTTTTTTGGGGGGGGGGGGGGGGGAGGGGGGGGATTGTTTGCTTTGCTTTTAAATAAAAAAGCAATAGAAGAGGTTAAAGGGTAACTAATGCACAAAGGCAATGACCTAATTCAAGGCAAGAGGATGCTTTACCATATAGACATTCCATGGCCTCACAATGACATCTGGAATAGAAAACTATCCCAAAACAGACAGCAATTCTAGTTTCCCCATTCAGGGAACTCCCCTACCAATATTTTCAAAATTCCCTTTTATATTTTTAAACAGGAGAGATCTTTATTAAGTCTTCAATAAATTACTAGGCAGACTACTTCTAATTAGAGCAAAATCCAGACATTAATCCCTCCTTACTTTCACCTTAAGAACAAAACTTAAACTGATGACTTGCCTCCCCTTCACTTACACATTTAATGGGAGCATCCCATATTTGTCCCCTTCTAAAATGTATTAATTTATTTATTATTAATTTACTTGGGGTACTGGTTGTCCTTACATGACAGAAAATGAAGCTGACCACAATACACCATGCAATCCCAAAATGGTTTACATTCTCCCCTACAGTTTTCTTCAGACCCTGCAGTTAATGTTCTTAAGCTCACAAAGTATGCAATGTTACTAACTCTTCATGTTCAATAACACAAGACAAATATCTTAAGGTTATGTGAGTAATCAAACTAGAACAAAATCAAACAAAAATAGATGCCACCAACAACTGTATACCAGTGAGGTCTCCAGGAGACTGGAGACCTTTAAGTAAATAACTCTTGCAGGTAGTATAGATGTTCACATCTCTTACTACTACTTTACTGTAATAAATAAAAAAAGCTTCTAAACAGTCCATAACAGATTTGAGAACGTGTTAGTCCAAAATGTGACATAGGTCTCCATGGACAGCTTAGATCAAGATAAACTATTAACACTGTTATAGACTGAAACAGACATTCATCTATTACTTCTCACAGAGCCTTTGGAGGCAGTCTCTTTCAATCAGAGGAGGAAGAGAACATCTCTACCAATGGATGTAAAAATGCTCGATGTTACATAATATCTTCTCCCACTCTGAACACATTGCTTTTGGCTTTTACCAGAATCTGCTATCAAAACAGGATTTGTGGACATAATTGGTAATTAGCTATGAAAGAAAACTACGGCCTCTGCAGATATCCCACAATCATAGTGATTGGAATGGACCTCTGGAAACCTATCAAGTCTAATCTCCCCCGTTGAAGCTCAGTAGTTTGCACAGGAAGGCATCTTGGCAATTTTGATTGTCACCAGAGAGGGAGACCCCACCACCTCTCTGGGCAGGTTGTTCCAGTGCTCTATCACACTCAAAGTAAGTTTCTTATGTACAGATAGAACCTTATGTTCCTGTTTGTGCTCAGTGCTCCTTGCCATGTCGCTCAGCACCACTGAAAAAAAAAAGCCCCCCCCAGCCAGTTGACACTCATCCTTTAGATATTTAGAAGTGTTAACAAGATCCCCTCTCAGTCCTCTTTAGGCTGAACAATCCCAGGTCTCTCAACCTTTCATCGTAAGGGAGGTGCTTCTGTCACGGAGTTGATCAGATCAATCTATGTCCGTGACAGGGGCGGCAGGCCTCCGCCCTCCCCCCCCACCCCGGTCCCACAAAAAAATGGGAAGGAAGGAAGGGAGGAAAAGAGCAGCGGCAACAATCTATGGAGGAAAACTTATTTTACTATAATATTGGAATACAAGATAACACAATATATACAATTTAATTGAAATTGAGATTAATAAATCAGACAAGATGAGAGAGAGAGTTCCCGGGACCGATTCAAACCTGAAAAGCTTGGAACGGCTAGGAAAGCACCCTCCAGCACCCACTGCCAAGCAGCAAGAGAGCACCCCCCCCCCACCCGGAAGGGCCAGATCCCGTGACTGCTGTAATGTACAGGGATAGGTAGCTGGGATTGGGGCAGTGACACTTTAATGGCCCGTACACTACATGATGTTTTGATGTGGAATACTGAAATCCAAAAACAAGAAAAGCAAAAAACAAAAACATAAAACCATGACATTCCACCCCTTATTCTACATCGTTACATCATGCTTAAAATATATATACATATATACAAACAAACAAAAAATGATTAAAATGCATACATGGCTATATACATATACATAGAATTAGTAACTGCACTCCCCCGGCATCAAGTTTCCTTGTGGTACACATTGAACATCCCCATTCTTCTGCATTACCCACCAAGTGGATCCTGGTCCCTGGGCAAAAACTGTACCACGGAGAGGTTTGCCCTTTCCAGAAGCTGGAAGAACCCAAACTGCCTTTCCTAACATGTTCTTTACATGTACAACAGGGACTTTATCTCCCTCTACGGTATGTAGGGAACTGGATTGGTTGGGACCATCACGATTGATAGATCCTCTGGTATTGACTAACCAGGTGGCTTCTGCCAAATGCTTCTCCCAGTGCTTAAATGTTCCACCACCCAGTGCTTTTAGCATCGTTTTTAACAATCCATTGTATCGTTCAATTTTACCAGAGGCTGGTGCATGATAGGGAATATGGTAAATCCACTCAATGCCATGATCTTTGGCCCAAGTATTTACAAGAGAATTTTTGAAATGAGTCCCATTATCTGACTCTACCCTTTCTGGGGTGCCATGTCGCCACAGGACTTGTTTCTCGAGACCCAGTATGGTGTTTCGGGCAGTAGCATGGGGTACTGCATATGTTTCAAGCCACCCAGTGGTTGCCTCCACCATAGTAAGCACATAATGCTTACCATTGCGAGATCGTGGCAAGGTGATATAATCAACCTGCCATGCCTCCCCATATTTGTACTTTTGCCATCGCCCTTCCTCCCAGAGAGGTTTCATCCTCTTGGCTTGTTTGATGATGGCACATGTTTCACAGTTATGAATAACCTGTGCAATGGCATCCATAGTTAAGTCCACCCCTCGGTCTCTAGCCCATTTGTATGTTGCATCTCTCCCTTGATGACCTGAGGTCTCATGGGCCCACCGAGCCAGAAATAATTCACCCTTGTTCTGCCAGTCCAGGTCTATTTGAGCCACCTCAATTCTGGCAGCTCGGTCTACTTGATGGTTATTTTGCTGTTCTTCAGTAGCCCGACTCTTGGGCACATGAGCATCTACATGGCGCACTTTTACAACCATATTCTTTGTTCGGGCAGCAATGTCTTTCCACAGTTCAGCAGCCCAAATAGGTTTACCCCTTCTTTGCCAGTTATTTTGCTCCCACTGCTGTAACCACCCCCATAAGGCATTCGCTACCATCCATGAGTCAGTGTAAAGATAGAGCATTGGCCACCTCTCCCGTTCAGCAACATCTAAGGCCAGTTGGACAGCCTTTACCTCTGCAAATTGGCTTGATTCTCCTTTCCCTTCAGTGGCCTCTGCAACTTGTCGTGTGGGGCTCCACACAGCAGATTTCCATCTGCGATGCTTTCCCACAATACGACACGATCCATCTGTGAACAGGGCATATTTCTTTTCATTCTCTGGTAGTTCATTGTATGGTGGGGCTTCTTTAGCACGTGATACCTCTTCTCCTGGTGGTGTTCCAAACTTTTTACCTTCAGGCCAGTCCATGATCACCTCTAGGATTCCTGGACGGCTGAGGTTCCCCATCCGTGCTCGTTGTGTAATCAGTGCAATCCACTTACTCCAAGTGGCATCAGTAGCATGATGGGTGGAGGGAACCTTTCCTTTAAACATCCAGTTCAGCACTGGCAGTCGAGGTGCCAGAACGAGCTGTGTTTCAGTACCGACTACTTCGGAAGCAGCCCGAACCCCCTCATAAGCGGCTAAGATCTCCTTCTCAGTTGGGGTGTAGTGCTCTTCAGACCCTCTGTACGCCCGACTCCAGAATCCCAGGGGTCGGCCTCGAGTCTCTCCTGAGGCTCTTTGCCACAAACTCCAAGTGGGACCGTTCTCTCCAGCAGCAGTATAGAGGATGTTCTTTATGCCCTGTCCCGTCCGTACTGGCCCTAGGGCCACGGCACGGGCTATCTCCTGTTTAATCTGTTCAAAAGCCTGCTGCTGCTCAGGGCCCCATGTAAACTCATTTCTCATTCGTGTCACATGATAAAGGGGGCTTACAATGAGGCTGTAGTTTGGAACGTGCATTCTCCAAAAGCCCACTGCACCCAGAAAAGATTGTGTCTCTCTTTTGCTAGTGGGTGGAGACATAGCAGTGATTTTGTCGATCACATCTGTCGGGATGTGACGACGGCCATCTTGCCACTTTATGCCTAGGAACTGAATCTCCTGGGCAGGTCCTTTCACTTTGCTTCGCTTAATAGCAAAGCCAGCACTCAGAAGAATTTGGATCATTTGCTCTCCTTTTGTAAAGACTTCTTCTGCTGTATCACCCCACACAATGATGTCATCAATGTACTGCAGGTGCTCAGGAGCACTGCCCTGTTCCAATACAGTTTGGATCAACCCATGGCAAATGGTCGGGCTGTGTTTCCACCCCTGGGGCAAACGGTTCCAGGTATACTGAATGCCCCTCCATGTGAAAGCAAACTGTGGCTTACATTCTTTGGCCAAAGGAATGGAAAAGAAGGCATTAGCAATGTCAATGGTGGCATACCATTTGGCCGCTTTTGACTCCAGTTCATATTGGAGTTCTAACATGTCCGGCACAGCAGCACTCAGAGGGGGTGTGACTTCATTCAGGCCACGGTAGTCCACCGTCAGCCTCCATTCTCCACTGGCTTTACGCACTGGCCATATGGGGCTGTTAAAAGGCGAGTGAGTTTTGCTGATCACTCCCTGGCTCTCTAGTTGACGAATTAACTTATGAATGGGGAGCAAAGAATCCCTGTTGGTGCGGTACTGCCGCCTGTGCACCGTTTTTGTAGCAATCGGTACGTGTTGCTCTTTTACTCGCAGCAGCCCCACAACAGATGGATCTTCTGACAGGCCAGGCAAAATAGATAGCTGCTTAATGTTGTCTATGTCCACAGCAGCTATTCCAAAGGCCCATCGATACCCCTTAGGATCCTTGAAATGCCCCCTTCTGAGATAATTAATACCTAGTATACATGGAGCCCCTGGGCCCGTCACAATAGGATGTTTTTGCCAGTCCTTACCAGTGAGGCTTATCTCAGCCTCCAACACAGTCAATTCTTGAGAGCCCCCCGTCACTCCAGAAATATGGATTGATTCTGTCCCTTGGTGACTCGAGGGCATCAGAGTGCACTGTGCACCAGTGTCCACCAGTGCCTTATATTTCAGTGGTTCTGATGTGCCAGGCCATCGAATCCACACAGTCCAATATACTCTATTATCCCTTTCCCCCTCCTGACTGAGGGCAGGGCCCCTCTATTCATTACCTGTGGTAACTGGAGCAACTGCACTGATGGTTGATCTGCTTTGTAATTCTTTCACCCGGGCTCGTAGTACAGGAGTAGGCTGACCGTGCCACTTCCCCATGTCTTCTCCATGGTCACGCAGGTAATACCATAAGACAATTCGCGGTGTATTACCCCTTACTTGAGCCGGAGAGCGTTTGCTTCTAACAGCTGAGATCTTTGACGGTGCACGTGAGAAGGAAGGTTCATCGTCTTTAGTTAGGTGGGCTCGCATCATCTCCTTCATCTCCTTGATTTCCTTCATTAGACTCTTTTGATTATCCTGATCTTCATCAAGCATCTCTGATACTGCTACAGGTTTGTCGCGGTTAATCAGTTGAGACACTTGCTCCGTCATTTTTGATATCGCAGCAACGGCAGCATGAATCGGGGACAGCAATTGTTCGTAGTTTTGAAGCGTAACAATTAATTCATAAACTAAAGGCGTTCTCTGTTGTTCGTTGAATCTGTCACACGCTGACATCAGTGTAGAGGCATATTTGTCCGGCGCTGTTGTCACGATTTTCTGCCATATCTCAGGCGTTGTCCTCACTCTTTCAGGGTCGCGGTTTTGGTGTGGGTCGTTAGGAACAAAGTCAGGGTCATACAACATTTCCACCACGCCTATTTCCCTCAAATACTGGATCCCCTTTTCAACTGTATCCCATTTTTTCATTGCAATCTTCAAGCCATTTTTGAAGGGATACTTTTCCTTCACGGCTGTTAACACTCGTTCCCAGAGGGAGGCAGCTTCATCCGAGCATCGACTAATTCCTCTATCAATAGCTGGATCTCTGGCAATGGCACCTAGTTGGCGAGCTTCATTACCATCCAGAGACAAGCTATGGGCCCCACTGTCCCAACAGCGAACCAACCAGGAAACAAGAGTTTCATTCGGGCGCCGTGTAAACTCCTTTCTTGAACCTTGGATTTCAGTCATCTTTAGAGGCCGGCGAGTAGTAATAGAGACTTCCTCTTCATCACTCTCTTCTGCACGTCTCTTAGTTTTCCCTTTTGCCTTTCGCGATGGTGGTGGTCCTGAGGAGGGCCCCTCGCCTGGATCTTCCTCCACCTCCTCCTCCTCTTCTTCTCTTTTTCGTTCAAGACGCGAAGACACTCGTTTCCATTTCTTGCCCTCCACAGGAGCAACTGGTATTGTTACTGGTGTCTCCTGTGATTGATTAGATTTGACTTGGGGATTTTCCCCTTTAGCTTGAACCTCAGCTCGGAAACTCTCTCTCTCCAGAATGGTATTATATAGGGCACGGTAAGCACAAGCCAAACCCCAAATAAGTTGTACCTCCTTAGATTTATGTAAGCCGCATAGTCCCTGACTCAAATACTGGCTTAGTTTCTCAGGATCCCACAGGTGTTCAAGGGTAAAATCCCATGACACTGCAGGTCCCCATGCTTCTAAGACCTTTCCTAAACCTCTCCATATTCCCTGCCAATCATCATTCTCTAGTTTTGGAAGAGACTCCTTTCCCTTAATACGAATGCATAGGAATACATTCAGGAAAACTGATGACATGCACACCAACATGACTATTAATTCAGGATTCAAAAAACGTTTGACAAACCGAGAAGAAAAACCGGAGACTGGTCTGAACATCGTGTTGTTTGTAAAATTAGCTATTCCATTTGGGATGTAACTGTTTGTGAAATTAGCCATTCCATTTGGGATGTAGCTATTTGTGAAATTAGCCATTCCTTCCGGGATGTAAATATCAAAATTCAAATCATACCACATTGCAAGTAGGTGAAACATAGGTGTCTCCATCAGTGCCATTAGGTACCTATATACGGTTGCAATTCCAACACACGTAAGTGCAAGATGGATTATTGGCCAGTAGGTTGTGAGTAACACCATTGCTTTAAATCCTTTACACAGCGCCCCCACGATAACGAGTGGGTTCATCAGAGGTGCCTGCTAAAAAGGGGTTAATGAACTGAAGCTAACAAGAGCAGGGAAAAAAAAAGAAAAAAAGGCACTACCCAGACTAAGTAGTGCTCAAAGTTTACAAATATCCCAGAACACTGGCAGTACGCCTAATCTTTCAAGGTCAGGTTTTCCAGCACAGAAACCTGAACTACTGATAATGCTCACTAACGAAGCTCTCTAAGAGCAGAGAGAAAAAGAGATTCGTTCTAACAGCTAAAAAGCAGTTCGTGCCCCACGTTGGGCGCCAAAATCTGTCACGGAGTTGATCAGATCAATCTATGTCCGTGACAGGGGCGGCAGGCCTCCGCCCTCCCCCCCCACCCCGGTCCCACAAAAAAATGGGAAGGAAGGAAGGGAGGAAAAGAGCAGCGGCAACAATCTATGGAGGAAAACTTATTTTACTATAATATTGGAATACAAGATAACACAATATATACAATTTAATTGAAATTGAGATTAATAAATCAGACAAGATGAGAGAGAGAGTTCCCGGGACCGATTCAAACCTGAAAAGCTTGGAACGGCTAGGAAAGCACCCTCCAGCACCCACTGCCAAGCAGCAAGAGAGCACCCCCCCCCACCCGGAAGGGCCAGATCCCGTGACTGCTGTAATGTACAGGGATAGGTAGCTGGGATTGGGGCAGTGACACTTTAATGGCCCGTACACTACATGATGTTTTGATGTGGAATACTGAAATCCAAAAACAAGAAAAGCAAAAAACAAAAACATAAAACCATGACAGCTTCACACCCCCAATTATCTTTGTAGCCTCCCTGCTACAGCAGTATGACTCCTATTATCACAGAAGAAATATACCTGAGTACAAGCAGCTAGATGTATATTGTCAAGTCTCCTGATGTAAGAAGAAATATAATATGAAATACAAACTATTTTTTCCTGCAGTGTAAAAGGAAATAAGCAAGTAATGAGAGTCATCTAACAAAATAATCTGATTAAAACTCAACAGCAGAAAAAATGAAAAAACTGTATCAGTCAAATCTCAAGAACTGACTCACAAGACAACTCTGCCTTCTTTTTATTCACATCCTACTTTGGTCTTCCAATTTTTGTTGAGGTCATTGAAGTTAACTACTTATTTGTGTTGCACTTACAACAGAATCCATAGAGTAAAATAGCAAAAATGTTGTTTTTAGCATTTGAGTTACTCCTAGATGGCAAAGATAGCAAAAATACTAAGCTAGTTAAATAAATAGAGAGAAAATAACAAGCCAAACATTTACCTCATGTATTTGTCCCTACATGTCTCTAGAAACTTCTCCAGTTGCGTTGGAGTAATTCTGTCCAACTGATATAAAACCCGTGGCTGTAAAGAGAATAGAACAGTTGAAAAAGAAATAGCTTATGAAGACTTAAAATAACAACATAAATAACCAACTGAAACTATTTACCTCAGTCGTGCCATTGTCATTGATACCATACTTGTCCCTAGTTTTTTTAATCTTCTCAGAAACACCTTTGATGAATTTTTTTATTTCCTGAAATTACACAGAAACAAAAGTAAGCAAAAATACATTCTTTACATTGAAATCTTCAGCAATTACTTGCTTAGGGATCCAGATGAAATGTTTACAACAATATATTAACTGCACAATACAAAGAGAGAAACATTAAAACTAAACACACTAAAATTCAGCAAATCAAATTCACTTTTGTGAATTAGTAGCAACACAGAGGAGTATGGTCCACACTGAATAAAAGCATCCTTCCTGAGCACATACTGAAAACAAAGATTTGACAGTGGTCAGTTCTTTCTTCCTACTCACCACTCACTGAAATTCTTCTCCAGTCAAAAATGTCATTTTATAGTAAGAAATTTTATTTTCTTACTATACTAACAAAATAATTTTCACTCATTTCTCAGTATTTAAAATAAATCAAAATTGAAAGACCACAACAAGAGAAGTATGTAAAGGATTCCCACTGAAAACTTTTCATAGTTTCAGAGACATTACCTGGGGTGAGAGGGATTGAATCAGAAAAAAAAAAAAAAGTCAAATACAAAAAAAAAAATAACCCCTTAAAACTGATAGAAATATGTCAATCTACATTGCTTAGTTCAAATGATTTCTCTATATTGCTGAGGGGCTTTGCAAACATGAGAATTAATACATAAACCAGTCACTTTCTTTTTAGGTTTACCCAGAGGTAGTTGTGATAGTCTTTACTGGAATGCCAACTGAAATAATACTGTTACAAAAATATCCAATACTTCTATGGAACATCATCCAGGCATTATGCTTAGGATATAGATATGAAACAAGAGGTTCATAACAGCACTTTTCCATTGAAGTGGACTCTGGGCAAGTCATTACCATAACAGTTAATGAAAACCAAAGTATAAATGAAAAAAATTAAAAATCAAGAGGAAATTCTTGTAAGCAAATCTCTACAGAAGAGCAAAAAGTTTGATTTTTAGAGTCCATTTTAAACCCCTTTAACCCTAACAATCCTGCCTGCCAACCAGAATGATCATATAGTATCACTCTTCAGCCACTGTTACACTAACTCCTGCAGTAGCTGAGCATTGAAAATAACTTGTGAAGTTAAGTAAATATTTGAGTAGCTGCCCTTTTTTTTTATGATTCCATTCATAAATCACTATCAAAATACTTCTTTCATAACTTAACAGAATCCTCAGATTCTCAAAATAGAACATTCTTACTGACATTCCAAGTACTTGCAAACAGTTATGTTCTGTGACTATTAGATCTAAGATCGAATGAAGGAACTGACAACAGAAGCGTGCTGCTGAAATGGATGCTTTATGTTGTTTCTCATTTGGGTGAAATAGGTTGCATTCATACATTTCTGCCTCTTTTGCAGTCATAACTCAAATGAAATACTGTGCCATTCTGAATAGTTGTAATCATTAGATCTTTGGATAAAATTGACAAATTTAATTATTTTTTAAGTTTAAAGTACTAATGCAGCATTAGAAAGATTAATCTTCCTGTTGGATGACTAAAAAGAATATTGCGGGACTTAGAGAAGTTGGTAACACTTGATCAGTGGAAAAAAAAATACAAGAGATGCTTTAAAAGTAATTCCACCTTGAAATACACTTCATTTGTGGAATGGTGGAAAGGGAGAATGACAAAATGTGATACCAACTTCTCCCTCTAGAACACCATAGGATGAGCACTTTTGTTTTTATTTACTCTCTGAAAACCAAGGGACAGAAACAATAACAGCAACAACCACAATAATTCAAGGGAGGCTATCATACTGACTGAAGAATTAGTCATGTGGTCATATGGAGCAAATCTGCAACAGGAAAATACATAACACCAAAGCAGTATAGGGCAGCAAATGGCATTGTGGACAATTTTATTGCTAACTCTTACTCTTTTACAGTCCCTAAGAAGTAAAATATATACATTTAAGTGTCTAGTATTATAAACCATTATGTTCTCCTATACAGTTCTGCATTATAAAGCATCATTTGAGTACCTTTTACTTCCATCTACTAGGAACAAAGAAAGAATGGTGAGAATTAATGAAAAAAACTCTTCAGAGTTTTATCTTATCAACACATTTTATTCATGTGGAAGTAACAGAGAAAAGTGACCTTTGACCCTCAACTTTTTATGATCTTTTAGTAGTTTATTTCAACTATGGGTTAGTTCAGGCTACAAATAAAAAGAAGAAGTACATGATTCCTTTCGAGTCTGTCCCTGTTTATGGAATTATCATTTGGAACATGATGCTCCATAAACACACATAATGCAGCTCCCAAGTCATCTTTTTCCACACAGTCCAAACCTATCAAGTCTTTTAGTCACGACATGTTTAACAAAAAGGCACTAAATTGACTTGGTAAGTTTGTATATTAAAATAGCAATCTACAAAGCCTGGTCACTCAGGTATTTAAATCATTTTCCCCAACACTAAGTTAGGAGTATTTATGTATGTTAAGCACAGCTAATATAAGAATTCTCAGTTAGGAAGCCCACTGAAATACAAAGTGACTCAGCAGGAAGCCATTCAAATCCAGTCACACCCATTAGGTAAGCTCTGCATGTTCCACCGTCTAGGTCTTTTCTGTATTTGTACCACACCTCCCACTGTTTATCTTTTGTCATCTCCAGAAAATAGGAAAATAATTTTGACAAAAAAAAAAAAAAATAAAATCAAGGCTTCCTCATTTCCATATGAAGAAAATTTTTCTACTGTTGTATTTTAATGTATTTAAACATTTGTAATCAAGTTTTAAGCCATACTGGAAGCTTATCCAGCCAACAATGCACTTTTTCCATCAGCTGATCTCCCTCTAGTGAGGAAACAGTGCAAGCTGAATGAGCACAGCCTGCTTGAAACATGTCATTTAGACATTCTGCTTTCTAGACTAGAAAGGGTAAGCCATTATAATAACCTCCTCATAAAACAGAAGAGAAAGTAGAGGAAGAGAAGGAACAATAAGAAAACCCATGTTAACATTGATGCAAGTTGCAAGAATGAATTCTAGAAAGGAAAGTTATGTAGCAAAAAGAAAGTTATCTCAAATCCTCAGATTACTAAGGAATTGCAGTGATGAATTCATGTGTCACATTGTTTTCATAATTAAAAAAGGACTTGGATAAATTACTTTGATTGATACCTAGATTAGAATTTAACAAGCAGTAATGTATATATGCTAATCAGTTCTTTCAGCACTATACACATCTGTAGCTAAAAAAGCACTAACATTAATGCTCAGACAGTGCACACACATGCTACAGTTACCTCATTATATTTTTCATAACCTGTTTCAGTTAATGTCTTCAAGGTTGAACAGAAAAAAGGAAAAGAAATAAGAAAAAGTAACAGTATTTGAAACTTAAAAATCAAAAGTGAAATTCATTATCATTAATGCTACATAAATATAACACTTCAAAAGGATAAATATAGTTAACTTTTACTGATGTAATTAAAAATGAATAACACTTCAAAAAACACTGGCATTTTTCATTTTTTTTTCCCCTTACAGGTGCAGTTGAGATTCACAGTGTATTTCAACCATAGATACAAATGATTTTTCTGCTCTGCTCTAGCAATGCACATCAGATTACTCACCAGTTTTGCTACCTTAGAGCTCTAAAGTACTCTGATCTATTAAAAAAAAACCTTCAAAACTAGGTTACCAAATTCACGTTGCTGTCATCACTGCCAAAAATCAGAAGCTTCATCAAGATTTTACATATCCATGGTCAGCTTATTTCTGCAGCTTTTAATCTGTCTCCTACTGTAGTCTCAAGTAGGATACTCTCCTAAATACTCCATTACTTAATGCTCTTCTAAACAAATAGTTTTCTACAATTTCAAGCACAGTCATGTGAACATTTACTCTTCCTAGAGAGATATACTAATATTTCCCAAAAGATAAAAGCCATATTGAGCGAAGTGCTTCATATGGCTGAAGTTTTTTAGCTGGGTTAGTACTTAAGGAAAGCAACATAAAAAGGTGTAAGAATATAGTTTACTGGAGGAAAACAAGCAAATACCTAGAAGCGGTTCTTCAGAAGGTCAATTATATCAGAACACACACAGGAGACAGATTAAATAATAGTTTCTAATGAAATCAGTGAGGATTATTTAATTTCTGACATCCCAGAGACAGCACATAACTGCACTGTCGTGCTATAAACAGAAATTCCAGCTAAATAACTCTGAGATCAATGATAACTTATACCCCAAAGTCACTAACTTATGTCACTGTGAACACCTACGACATGAAGAATAACTTGCCCTACTTCCCCATCTCTAAAGTGTACAGAAATATATTACTGAGCAAACAGCTATCTCTGTTACTAATGCAACAAATGCAACTATTGCTCCTACAGATCAATAGAAACATTTCCTTGAATTATAAGGTAAGGTTACTCACAGTATGATAAGAAAGTGACATAATGATATTACCTGCAGAAAGCTGTCTCGGCAGCAAAGAAATTCATTCTTCTTCATGATAGATTCAGATATTGACACCAGTTCATTTTTACTAAGGGCTGGTTCACTTCGGCATGGATATACAGCCTTAAGAGAAAAAAAACAAATGATTCACATGAAAATGAAATTTCAATACAGACACAGAATGGAGATATATACAAATGATTAACAGTATACTTAAGTATTATTTTTAAACTCCATGTTTGATGACTGTGAAAAGGCAGTCCATATACATTTGTGTTCAAATAAATCTGAAGGTGTACGCATCCAGATTTCCAATTCTGCCAACATATTACACTCAGATTACAGAAACCTGGACAGTCATTTCAGCAAAAGGCTTTATATTGTGAAAAAGAAAGCAAAACCAAAAATAAACAATATTGTTGTTGTTTTTTTTTTTTTAAAAAAAAATCACAATATTTCAAGAGTTATTCAACAGAATGTTAGAATGACCTAAGCAATACTTCAGCACAAAAAAGTTTTGAATTAAATAAGAACTGCTTCGTGTAATTTAAATCCAACATAACATCTGACTGAATCAGTAGTAACTTTGCTACCATATGGTGTTATATATGCCTTATATATGTAAGAACACAGCTTTCCACTGCTCATACACTTAAGCTCCAGTTGTTCTATTCTGATGTGAAAGGTACCTATAACTCTTAGCAGACATGCTAAAAAAAAAAAAACAAAAACAAACCCTGATATCAAGACTGCCAAAAATGTGATTTAAATTCTGAATCAAAAACTGAATCAATGCTCTGCATAATTTTTTCTCCTTCCCACATGCATAATAGTCTTTTCACTTGGAACAAAATGTCATTACTCCTTACTCTGATATTGTCTAGAACTCGCTTAAATTCCAGTGGTTCATCCTTCCCTTCCATTGCTGCAGGATCCAAGCCATCTCCTCCATAAATAAATTGAATAATGTCACCAGTAGAACTTCTGACTGTCAAATCATACTGTGAACAGAGATCTTCAAGGGACTTTACCAGCCGCCTCTGAAGGAAAAAAAGATGCAGGGAAGATAAAGTGTGATTGCTTTATTGGTTGGAACCATTAAAATTAAAGAAAATAGAGTCAGAAAGTACATTTGACAGAGCAGGCACAAAAGCCTATTTTAAGCTACACATTCCCTAGACCTTCCCCATAATGTGAGAGACAGCAATAACAAGATTTAAGGCCATAATACAATTTTGGTATTGTTTCCAATACTACAGAGTTCCTGAATGCCAGATTGCAATAACCTATTACAATCTAAAGACTATTTGTGGTTATTCATGACAAAAAACCTCAAGTCTTGTATTCTTTTGTATTCTAGTCAGGTTTGTTTCTCAAGTTATATTAACTTTGCATGCAGCAACAAAACCAGACAACAATTGCTTTCACTGACAAAAAAAAAACAATTAGCTCATCCATCCAAAGCCAATAGTTGCCATTCAGTTGCCATTCTTCCATCAGTGTTAGCTAGCTATTGTCTCTTACATAGATTCATTTTCTGGGAAATCCAAGTCTCTACAGACTGCCACCTAAAGAGGACAGATACTAAAAGAAAGGATTAGACATATTTATATCACCCGAGCATCTTATTTTCTGTTTCTCATCAACATATCAAAACTGAAAAGGCATTTAGCTCAAACCTACGTTATATCATATCTGCACAAAAATGAAAGCACCTTGAAAACAATCTTCAATATTTATCTAGAATGAGGACTTTTTTAATCACCTACATTCAAAACAAAACAGCTTAACACAAGCATATTACTGCACTATTGGTTGACATCTCTCACAAGCCTCACACCTACCAGAGAACAGAGCAAAATCTACTTCCCAATATAAACTACTATATTAAAAACATACAACAATAGAAACCTACACAAAACACATGCACTGCCCCCTGTCCTATCAAGCATTAAGTAAATAGTCTCATTTGGAAAAACTGATGAAGCTCCTAATCCACTGACAGTTACCTGCATGTATCCAGTTTCAGCTGTTTTTACAGCAGTGTCAACCAGACCTTCTCGACCAGCCATAGTGTGAAAAAAAAATTCAGTGGGAGTCAATCCAGAATAGAAGCTGTTAGCAACAAAGCCTTTCGCTGCTGGAAGCTACAGGAAAGAGTGGAAAGAAGTTGAAATACAATTAACATCCCTTACATATATAACAGGAAGAAAAGATAGGTGATATATAAGCACAGAAAAATTTGTCTCAGTTGTGTTTAGCCCTGAAACGTAATGTATTTTAAATCTGACACAGGCTTCAGTATCCTCAACTAGTTTTTCCCAAACTACTAAATCAGATTTTAGCTCATTTTTAAATCCAGCCATGCCTCTAGCCACTCCTGCAAACACTACACCAACTTCCAACAAGTCAACTTCACTTAATGATAAGAGAATTGAAAGGATACTACAAACATTCATGCCAAAGACCAAGGAATCCAGAAAAAAATATGGAGATATGTACATAACTAATTCTTGTTTTCCTATGATGTCTGAGAACAGCTCTTAAAAATGAACTTTATGCAAGCATTACGAAGTCAAAAAAACATCCAGCTGTCTCCATGACGACACAGAATTACATATAAGCTACAAAAAGGTTCATGCTTGAAGACTACCATATGCCACTATGCAAATAGGAAGTGCTTTCTAAATCAATAAAAAAAGCCAGAGTTAAAACTTGAACTTTTATTCTTACATAACCAAAGAAGATTTTTTCTCCTTTAATTTACTCAGAAAATATAAGATTTTATGTCGCAGAATTCATAAATTGAAATTTGGACTTCAGATCTAAATGTCACGGTTGTCATCTGACACGAGTTAAATCTGTTAACAAGATTGATGACTGGTGTAAAGAACTTTCTCTGGTGATCATTAAGTTTCAGACGAGCAGTTAAGGAAAAACAAACCAATAAGCCACAAATCTCATTGATTTGCATTAACAAGTGCATGATTCCTCATTAGTACGTACAAAGCATCCAATGATATATATCCTAGTACAGAAAGAAAAAAAACATAGCCTAGAATGATTTTTCTGATGTGTTTCACTGACTGATAATAAACTCAAAAGGCGTATTGAAAACTCGCAATGCAGTGAGAGACAGCAAGACAAATTAGCAAATAATTTTAGAACCAAAAACGCATCAAGCTTACTTTAAATTTCTAAATTAGAATTCTATCATGGAAAACAGCAAATTCCAGCTGTAAATATTTAGGCTAATGAAATGTCCCACAACAATTCACAATACTACTACTAAGCTCCACATTACATTCAAAACATTTTAAATTAAATGTATGTGTTCCTGTTTCTTTATCATGCACCTTTCTTAAAATGTTCTAAGTTACCTTGTTTCACTTTTCTTTACAGTGTTTTAACATACAGAATTACCTTAGAATGCTTCTCAAAATGAGGCAAAGACCTATTCTCAAATCCATCAGGAACTCTGGACCCACTGATAGCCTGCTGACCTACACATGCAATCATCTGGGATATATTAATGAAGGAGCCTAAAAAGAAAGGAAAAATCTTACAAATGAGTAATATCAACACTCTGACAGAGCTGCCTTAATTTCTCTGAAGACAGTTAACAATTCTATATTTTTCTTGGAGCCATGGACATTCATTACAGGTAAATACTATCCTGTCTTGTGTTATGGAGTCTGGTTTATAAAACACGATTGTAGTTTCATTATTTTGATTCACAGTTTCTCCAATAAGCATATTTCAACATTTTAAAAGAAGGGTTAAGTGTTTACCGTGATTTGTACAACAAAATAAACCTCAGATAATGAAAAAGCTTTATTTGCAGTGAAAACAGCTTTTTACTATTTCTAATTCTCAAGGAATCACTTCTGGCTGATTTTTCCACGTGACAGATTCTTCAAATGGGAGGTACAACAAAAGTCTTCAGAACAAGTCCTAGTAAGATGCTTTTCAAGTAGTACAAAAAAATTAAAGACAATAACTGAAAATGAGCTGGTGAACTATTTAATGAGAGCCAACTATCAATTACTGAAAGGAGTCACTTCAACTTTGCAGGATGTGAATTGTGTATTTGCACAACTGCTTGCATCAAATAAGCTATTTAACAGAACAAGTAATTTTAAGAACACAGATGGAATTAGCAAACTAACTCTGGAACTCAGCTATCCCTACCTTTAGAACCACAAAGAGCCATAATAAGGGGACTGTTGCTCTTGTCCAGTTCTCTGAGACAGGCACTGCCAGCATGATCTCTGATAACAGAGAGTTCTTTAAGTATTAAAGCCTGAAATCCAAGAACAGAGATTTGGTATTAGTAAAGAAAGCCATACACAAACAATATATTACCATTTTCCAGCAGTACCTTCAGCAGTGAATAAGTACTAAAAATAGAATTAAGAAAAATAAGCCTGGAATTTTGGTAAAGTTGCAACTTTTAACTTGGGTAACTTTCCAGTTTGCAGCAAAGTAATTCTTTGTTGGGTTAAGGCAGCAGTATCTGGGCACATTATAACCTCTTAAGCTACTTACACCAAGTACTGAACTAAGCTAAGCTGTACTATGTGAAAGATTACTGCAAAGAAGTAATTTTGGAATGCTCTCACAATGTACAGTGTTAATATCTCTGATATTTTATAAACTATACCAAAAACCAGGGTCTCTGAGAAGAGGAAAAGCATGAAACATGTGAAGACTTCTTTCAGGCAAAACATAACTAGACAAATGTGGAAGTATTTCACAGGGTGGGTTTTCCTGTCTGTTTTTCCTCGTACACTTCCTCCTCTACACCCCCTTCTACTATTAAGAAACTAAAAGAAAATACATTGATAGCCAAGAGAACAGACATATAAAACTATTAAAGTCAACTAACATAGTATTCTTCAGCTTATTAACATAGCATTATTCAGATATCATTAATATACTATCCCTAAGATTTTGGATAATGTTAGCTGATCTTAATGTCTTTTTTTCTTTTAAACAGAAAGAGTCAAAAGAAAAAAGTGTTACCGAAGTCCACTTGGCAGCTGTTCTAATAAGATATAAGAAAACATAGTGCTTGTAGACAGAATTCTAATGCGGGGTGGGAAGATCCTGGTTATTAAGCATTTAACTAACATTTTAACATTTAGCTGGCTATATGCATCTGAAGGATTAGATATTCAGACAACAAAAGTTGCATGCACACAGACCATACTTCTTATATTTTTAAGCATCAGGAGACAACGTTTAGCTTCACAAACTCTGTGAATGCATTCATAAAGTTTCTATTCTAAATACATATTGACTTAATTTAAAATGCTTACCTCTAGCGTCTCTTCTGCAGTACAACCAGGCTGCTGCTGTAGCTTGCCAGTGTTCAGTGCTTCAATATATTCATCACATTTCTTATAACCAGCATGCAGCAGCTCATACTTAGCTTTTAACAGGCCTTGACCTGGGGTAACGTCACCAATTCCAATTGAAAAGCCACGATTAGCTGTCATAAAATAAGATTATAATGCTAGCTCAATCTCATACGTAAAAATAGAAATGAAAATCAGGACATTTTGTCATTTGGAACTTTGTAACTTCCTCCCACCATGTGACACACATAAGCACTTTGTAAACATACCAATTGTTTCACTACTTGACAGTTCAATGACTATCTTTTTGTTTTTTCTTTGTTTTGAACAGGATACATTGTATATGAAACAAATTTTGCTCGATTGTTCTGGATTTCCGCTTTAAGATATTGTTTTACAAGGAAACTTACAAAGATAGACAGGAGCAAGTCTGGCTAGCCTTGACATGGCATCTGCAGCTTCCACTTGTCCCCAGTCTCTCAGCAAAATGTAGAAGATATTATTTTTTGATCCAGAACCTAGGGTTCCTTTGTCCATACTGCCACTCATTAACTCACTGTTCTGAATTGTGACATCTAGAAATAGAAAAGCAAAAACAATTCAGAATTCTAAAGCACGACTCAAAGATTCTCATATTCAGTTCACCTCCGAAACACATCCAGAAGCAGTCTGAATGTGAACATCTACAATGTTATTGAAAGCTTACAAAACACAGCTTTAGAAGTATTACTCACAAGAATCATTGTAACACAGATCTTCCCCTTTGCCACAATACTGCTTGCCCTTGGTTCGCAGATTGGCTTTTACAGGACAGTCATCACTGGGCTTGAGAATGAGGCTGAAAACCTGCTTTCCCGTCCAGAGTGTTACAGGCTTAGGAAAATAAAATGACAGGAATTAGGGTTACAGATTTTATGATACAACTACTAGAAGCAGCAAGTAAGAGTCTAATTGTAAAATTCTGTTTTTAATTCTCAATCTTTCCATACTAAATAGGAAGCCACATAATGCTATTCCTTTGAATAGAAAAGCAATACATAAATAAAAATGCTGATTCCCAAATGTCTATTCTTTATGTAAGGGTATGTGCATGCATTTACTGAGACATGCTCCATTGCTCCCTCTCATTGTCACGTTTCCCTGATTAGGAAAGGAAAAAAATAAGATGCTACGTGAATTCCATTTCACAAGCTAGGTATCACATTTATAGTTACTTATGTAATGCTGTCTGAAGCTATAAGAGATTAAAGATTTATGTGATTATGTACTTCACTCGTAGTTAAATATAAGTAAACACATCACTGCTAAAAGCAGCTATATCTTCTCATTTTGAATAAGAAAAGCAGTCAAAGAAACACTGCTCCTTGTTAAAAAGGTTCATATAAACTCAAAATGAATGCACTTTATTTCTTATAGTATCTAATACAAAACAAACGGCAGAAAACATAAGAATGGTCTCTTCACTGAAAGCATCCCCATAGGTAAAGAACATATAGAGAAAGTGTTTATAATATTAAATATCAGTGTGACACACCTTCAGAATTGCTGGGGGAGGAAGACGAACTTTAATTTTTTCATCCTTGCCAACCAGAATAGAAGCAATGATTTGACAGGCTTTTGCTCGATCAAAGAAAGTATCTTTTAGTGTAAGAAGATAGGCACCTGAAAAGTGATTACATGTAGAGGTTATTGCATATTCGGTATTAATGACCTCATTCTGATACTAAGTAACTATGCACTGCACAAAATAATAGTTCACACAGCTTTCCAGATAAAATTAATTCTATGACATTCAGATTTCATAGAGTCACAGAATCATAGAATCACAAGGTTGGAAACGACCTACAAGATCATCTAGTCCAACCGTCCTCTCATCACCACTGCTACAAGCACTGAACCACATCTCACAGCTCCTCATCCAGACACCTCTTGAACATTGCCAGGGACAGCGACTCCACCACCTCCCTGTGCAGCCATTTCAGTGCCTGACCGCTCTCTGAGAGAAAAAGTTTTTCCTTATGTCTCATCTGAACCTCCCCTGACACAACTTGTGGCCACGTCCTCAGGTCCTGCTTGCTGCCTGGGAGAAGAGGCCAAACCCCTCCTCATAACAACCCTCCTTTGCTACCCTCTGTTCTTTTTCATACACTGTGCCATAAGAAAAAAAAAAAGCTTCAGCACTGACTTTGTACACTTTCATATATTCATTACTTCTCTTGAAGAAATAATGCAAACTGAAGATACTTACTGTAGGTTAAAACTCATTTTAGGCTAATAAGTCTAACTCCTCTACCATAATCATAATTAATCTACACTACAAAACACGTGAAGATCCTAAACATTCACTTTTGATGTTGAAAAGACCACAAGCTACAAAAAGCTACTAAAAACAGCACCAACTACAGTTGACAGTATCAGAAGCAATCTGAAGAACATCCTATTTCAGACTAAAAGAAAAAAAAAGTCTTACTCTCATACAGTCACTTTCACTTGTAAAAGACAAAATTTATGTTGATATAGAAAAAAAAATACTAAAAAAGGATTCTCAAAGAATTATTACATTATACAGCTCTAAAATAAGACTAAGTACACACCTGTTAAGAAATCTTGAATAGCAGCAATTAGAGGTTCTCCATTCCTTGGTGTTACCAAGTTTGCTTTAGTCTATATGATGTAAAATTAAAAGTTACATACTGCAAAACACTGATATTCCATTTAGGTAGATTTAGATACCAATTCCTGCATCCTGATACTTCACTCAAATATTTTTAAAATATATCACTTCCATGCACTAAACATTAAAAACTATGATTTAACATGTATCACATACATCTCCTCAAACATCATACTACAGCAAACAAATTGAGTTTAGGGTAAGGAGCTCCCACTCACACTATTTCCTGCTCCAGTTAGTCATCTCTATAACCCCACCTATACAGTACCTGGCTGCCTCAGATTTGCCTGAACTATTCACAGGACAACAAAAACCTAGATTATACTTTTTTTTTTTTTTTTTTTTTTTCAATTGTTGAAGCTTTCTTTTTAAGCTCCCAAATCATCTCAGCAAGTCAATACATGCTGCAAACAACAGCTGTCTTCGCACAGCAGAACTAGTCACCAGAGAGGACCAATGTCCTGGAAAATCCTCAAATTACTGCTACTGACTCCACTTTCATGCTACAGATAAAGCACTGCAACCACCATATTCCTCTATTTACCATTTTTTTTTCCCCCATTTTTTCCACCCTCCTAAATAAAAACCTACTTATCTGTCTCCCCTAGTAACTATTAGTTCAGCACAAACCCACTATTTTGGCAGCAACTGATAATGGTAGTCAAGCAGAAACATGTTGACAACATGTATTTATTTAAAAATCCAGAATTTGCCAGGAATACTAAATGCACATGTATTAGACTATCACCCAGTCTACTGTCAGACTAACAGCTCTGTTTTATTCTCAATTGCCTTTTCCATTTTGCTTCTAAGGAGTTTCATAGCTGCATACTATCCATACTCATTGAACCTGATGGTAACTTTAGATCTCACATGTAAGATAAGTATTACAAGGCATGGCCATCATTAGCAAAGTCCCAATACATGATCTACATACATACCCCCATTAAAACAAGTGCTTCTGCTTTTGCTTCTTCTGTCTGAGGAAGGTGAAGGTTCATCTCATCTCCATCAAAGTCTGCATTGTATGGTGTACAGACACATTCATTAAATCTGAATGTCCTATGGGGTTTTACTCTAGCCTGCAAACAGAAAAAAAAAGTGTTTTGCATGCAGCGAAGCATGTGGAGAGATGAAAGACTAAGCTCAAGTGCTTCTTTGTAGTCATTATACATTCTATTACAGATATGCATCAAAATTTCTGACTGTGGGACTCATCACAGCCATGAAACAGAAACTGAATACATTATTGGTTACACAAATACAACTAACTTCTATTATGAAGTATTTATACAGAATGCTTTCTAGAGGCCACAGGAACTTTACAATAGCGAAATGCTTACTCAAAAACAGATTCTGAAGTCAAATAGAGCTGTTAAAAGAACTATCTGGCAGCATACTGTCCAGCTACACATCAATTCCCATGCAAAAAGCACAACTGCACGGTTAGAAAAGTAGCTATTTCTGTACATGCAAGAGATAAATAGCTGCAAGGGAAGGCCTCTTAATCACATGATGTACTACCACCTTACTATTAGACTGTGCACTCACAATGTGAGCCATAATGCTCAGCTTATGAAGAGAGGGCTGTCGGTTGAACAGGACAATATCACCATCTATAAGATGCCGTTCCACAATGTCACCAAATTTCAGCTCCTGTGCCATCTTTTCTCGGTTTCCATATTTCAAGAATCTTACAACGTGTCATTAAAAAAAAAAAAAAAGACAAAGACTTAGAGAACTTCGAATAAATTCTGTGTTCACAATGCAAGCTTCTCCATTAAACGTTGAAGTATTTGTACTGCAATGACTAGATGACAAAATGTAGGGACTGCATCACTAAACATTAGATCAGTTACTGTTTTAAGTAACAAAATTGTGGTATTAGTAAAAATGACAGTTATTACCACAAAAACTAGGAAAGCCTACAAAGACAAACCAATTATTTTTGTTGTATCAGGGAGAACAGGGAGTTTCAATCTCATACAATTATTTTTTAGTATCCATAAACTGATAGCCGTTGGGTGAAAACAGACAGCACAAAGTGACCAATATTGTCTCTTTTCACTTATCACCTCTCAGTAAGACCCAAAACATTCATCTCATTCAAGTTTCTATACTACCTATGGTATCTAGGCCTCAATACCAAATAGAGACTGCCCTAAAGTAATCTAATTGCAGTTCACTATCATTAATATGTGAATTTTAAGTATGTGCATATATATATATATAGTGAATATAATCTCTTCAGGTTTAGTATGACTCCTTTTCATATATATATATATATATATTTTTTTTTTTTTTGCTACTGTCTTGTATGAAAGATGCTAGAGAAAAAATGCTAATCCCTTCAGATATAATTGATTCCACACAGCAGTAAGAACAAGCTCATGAGAAGAGATGAAAAGTGAATAATTACAGATAAACATGGTACCTTTTCATCTGTGTGTGCCTTTGCTGAATGAAGTTGGCTCCAGGATGAATATCAGGACCATTTCGGACAAGTTTCCTCATAAAATTAATATTTGCTTTGTTTACCTATTGCATAAACATTTCAAACAGGAAGAAATGAAACATCCGCAATTTTTCAGCACAACTGATTATCCCCCTCACAGCCTTCAGCAGTGAAGTAAGAAGAGAAAAATTTAGAGCACAGTAATGTGAAAAGTCTGGGAAGGAAATTCAGAAATAAGACAATCACTCATTAAGCAGATAAATCAATGAAAATATGAAGCTATATTTGAAGTCAGAAAACATCAAGGTAAACCATTCTATCCTGGTCTGTCACTCCTTACCCCATATGCTTCCACAGTACTCGTATACACCTGATAGTACAAGTTTTGTTTACCAGCAGCAGCCAAATCACACGCTAAGCTAACAACGAAACAACCTCCCCCCCACTCCAAAAAAAAAAAAAAAAAAAAAAAAAAAAAAAAAAAAAAAAAAAAAGGTAGAGAAAAGGTTTGGTTCTGTGCTACCTACCTTTTCAGGAAAAGTCAGTATTTTAGCAACATGAATAGGCACTGCTACTTCATCTATTCTTAAGTTAGGATCGGGGGAAATAACCGTTCTGCCAGAGAAATCCACTCGCTTTCCAGACAGATTCCCCCTAAACCGACCTAACAAACAAACAAGAGTTCCTTCAGAGAAAGTTAATTTCAAAGTGCTGCCTGTTATGATAACACATTAGAATATTTTTGAAGGTACTTAACAGTAGCACAACACAATGGTAACAAAGAGATGCTTTGGAATAGAAAATAGTTTTAACTTAACTAAAACCAACCTCCTATACAAACCTTGCTTTCCCTTAAGTCTCTGGACAAAGCCTCTGGTCCATTTTTTAGGTGCCATGTTCAAAGGAATTCCAGAAAGCTCACTGTTGATGTAAAGGGCACACTGCAATTGAAGGAAGTCCCAATCTTCCATAATCATCTGTGTTTTAGCTCCTGATATCCTGTGCTAAAAATAAATAAATAAATAAATAAAAAGTAATCCATTTCAGAAAATAAACAAAGCAACAAATTAAACTAGTAAAGAGTTTAATTCTGACAATGAGCACAACTCTTTTTTGGAAAATAACTTCAAAAAACTTCACACTCATTAGAATGAAAAAGGCAAGGCAGCTTTCTATTGCTGGAGTATAAGCCTTTCCACAAAAAAAAAAAAAAGTTGTTTTTGTCAGCTTTTGACAAATGCATAAACTATGAATTCCTTTAAATTGTACATTTTTCCAATCTGCTGAAGATGATATAATTTCACAACCAGGAAAACAATCAGTAGTTACTCATTCTTCAATCACAGGAGAATTTGCTAACTTAGCCTTGTTTTTCTGACAAAAGATCAGTTTTGAAAATATTGAAAAAAATTAGTCTGGTAGAACAGTTCTAAACAAATGGTAAACCATCAGATATACTTCTATTCAGCTCAATAAATGCGCTAACTGAAAATTGATTTCTTAATAACAGATAGAATAGAAAAAGATCAAGAACTAGAAAGGTTTCCACAAAAAAAGATTTTTCACTGTAAGCAACCATTAAAAAAATGTTACAAGAATGAGAAGGGGGCAGGAAAAACCCACAAGCAAACATAGAAAATGAATTCACAGGCCAAAACCAAAATGAGAAATCTTGTCCCAGGTCTCCAGTACATTTTTAGCACATTCAATACCAGAAGCAACCAGAGAGCTAGCTCTATTTGAAGCAACTTGATTTCTTTCAATAGAATTCCAAACACCACAGTGGTACAACACAGACTGTTTGCAGGACTGGGAGTAGCAGTACATATAAAACCACTTGCTATAGTCAGCACTAAACATTTTAAAAGTAACAGTCTCAGACAGCTTGAAGGATGACTCACCTTTTTTATTACATCATTGAGGAAAATGATCTCTGTCAGTTTCATTGTCAAGTCATCTTCGTTGGTGCCAGACTTCAAGTCACTCACAACAGAGGGTCTGATACACAGTGGAGGCACTAGAAGTCTTGTGAGGATCAAATCTGAAGGCTTACCTGCTTCTGGGTTCATTAGAAGCAGAGGGATATCTTCCGCTGGGATTCTTTTAAAGAGGTTCAATACTACTAATGGATTCAAATTTTCCTACAAAATCAAACAGAAAATGGTAAAATCAAGCCATCATGTAACAATTTGCAACTCCCTTCATCTACTCTATTGTTGAACAACTAGTATTTAAAAAGAATAAATAGAAAACCACTATCAACACACAAGAAAAACACTATCAACAATTAGTTTATTAATTCTGAACCAACCTTTATAGTTTCTTATACTTGCTATTTTTTGTTGGCTTTGTTCATTAGCAATAATTTAAGTCATTTTTAACAGTATTTTTTAAACAGTATTGCGTAGTTACTTCTTAAAGCAATGTAATAGAGGCATTACAACAAACTTAAAATACTTTTCTTACTTAATTAGCAGAAACTGAGATGAACTACAGTACTTCCTAGTTTTTCTTTTTTAAAAAAAAGACAAGATACACATTTCGTTTCTCTTCCAGTACACCTACTTATGCAGTATGAAAAACTCCAGATGCTCATTACTTTTGCTGTGCATATATCTATCCTGATACCTTCCCAGTTCAGCAAGAACAAAAAGAAACAACTGCACACAATGCAAAGCTGCATGAAACAATAACAGCTGATTAAGTCTCTTCTCTCCTCATCATTATTACATTCTTCTGAAGAAAACAAATTTCTACGTATTACAGTCCACTCAGAGCTACAGTAAATCTAGAGGTACACAGCATTTCTTTGGATGTACATGTCCTACCTCCTCCATCCCCCCCACTTTTTTTTTTTCTTAAGCTTCTTGAATTCTCACATATGAAGAGCAACCCCCTCACCTACAGGCAGAAAAGTACATACCAGAAGACACTGATAAACAAAGTAATGGTCACAATACAGTAAACATTCTTCACGTGTCTTAGCATTTTTAAAATACTGGTCTACAATAAACTGCTACATTGAGAACCTTTCAAAAGCTTTATTTAATGCACAAAAAACAGCAAAAAGTTCAAGCAATAACAAAGCTCACCTGAGCTCTTCCCAGTAAGGGCTCTACTTCTTTGTTATGTTCTATGGCAGTTTCAAAGGACTGCAAGAAAGTGGATACTATTGGATCTACAACTTTCTTATTGGTTTTATACTTTTCATGTATTATTTTCAGTAAACCACACTTCTTCACAGTTCCTGCAAGAAAATGTTGTTGTTTTAAAGAAAAACTTAACAGCAACAAAAAAAACCAAAGAATTGCTTCAAAATCAAGTCACCCTTCCAGAAAACAGCAAGCATATCTAACACTATGAAGAACAATTTAATGGGATTATGAAAAACAAAGATCAGAATTACAGTTTACAAATGCTTCCAAAATAAGGTACCAATCATCAGCAATAGCTTGCCACATTTTAAGTAAATGGTTAAACAGGGCTTTCTATTTTCACCCTTGCAGCACAATAGAAAACATAGCAAAGGCAGTAGAACAGCAAAATCCCAGACCGCAGCAAGAACTTGCTTAAATACAACAGCTGTAGGCACAAAAACAAAGAAACGATAACTACTCATCTTCAAAAGGCCTCAAATACACAAAGATTTCCAGAGAGATACACTTACCTCTGCTGCCAACCCTTAAATGAGGTCTGGGAAGGTGTGGATCCTGTTTCCACCCCTTTTGGTCACTTATCTGCACTGCATGCACCTGAGTTCCCCTGAGTTGGCCCTGCCTTCCCACCAGGCGTTCAATCACTGCTTCAGGCCTTGACTCAGCATTTTCAATAAACACTTTATTCAAGTATTAAGTATTGGTTATTGTAATGAAGAGATGCATAAAAAATAAGTCACTCGGTCAATGTCTACTTCCACATATGTGAAATATCAATAAGACTTTGCTTAGTATAAAGAATGCAACAACCTGTTTCTTAAGAGTAGACAGAGAAAATATCCATTAACTGTGGAAAGAACAAGGATAAAAACCAGTAAAGAACTATGAAAAACTGCTGATGTCAGTGCTCACCATTAAAGGCACCACAGTAAGGACAAGTGTTTTTCTTCCGGCACTTTTCAGACACCTTCTTTTTCAGCCCCCTCTTCTGAAGATATGTAAGGCCTGGCCGCTTCAAGTAATCCAAAAACTGTTTTTTTTCTTCTACTGACAGCATGATACAGCAACAGGTTTTGCAGATCATCTTTAATGTGAACACATAAGCACAGTCATTTAACACAACATGCAGAGTTGTAACTTCTACCACAACCTGAGCTCTTCACTAGCACACAGGATTTTTTTAACAAAAATACTGTAGACTTGGATGAAAGATGAATTCATATATCATAACAACAACAACGAAAACAACCAGGTTCATGGGAAAAAAAATACAGAAAAAAAAAATTGTCTAAGTTCTGCGGAACTTAAATACAAAGCAAACAGAGCTGTGATTCACTGGAATGGCTTAAAAGGCAAGTTATGCCAAACACATTTACTTCAAACAACTAGAGAAAGATATCAGATTAATGATTCTACGATTTGATTCTAATCTGTTTGGATCAAAAAGAATAACACTGATGCATTTACACTACTAGAATTGATACTTAAACATAATTATTTACAAAACACAAATTGCATGAAATATTTAACACAATCTTACACTGTCATCTGAACGACTGTTTTTCAAGCAGTACCTCTTGTATCATCTCAGTATCTCATTTCTCTTTAATCATTTCCTTTTATCAGCCTAGATATTGATAGCAAATGAAAATTAAGTTTACCTGCAAGATGCCAATCACAGCTTTGAAGTATCCAACGTGAAAACACGGCAGTTCCAAGTCAATGTACCCATAATGTCCCAAACAGTCAGCCAGGTTTTTTCCACAGGTTTCACAGGGACGATCTTTTTCACTTGTTCCCTTTGAAAGGAAAGGAACACATGCACAGAATAAAGTTTTAGCTGTAATCAGCTAAATATGTAAAAGACAGAACAGTCCTTAGGCTAGGCAACTATCTTGATAGCAGACCCACAGCCCTCACTCTTTTTTTCCCAGTAACAGAAGCATGTCAGTGGCACTTCATGAAATACACATCATAAAATCCCAAGGGTTGGAAGGGAATTCTGGAGATTAGTGAGTCCAACTCCCTGCTAAAGCAGATTCTCTACAGCCGGTCTAGTAGGCAGCAGTCCTGATAGATATTGAATATCTCTAGAGAAGGAGACTCCACAACCTCTCTAAGCAGCTTGTTTCAGAGCACTGTCACTCTTACAGTAAAGAATTTATTTTACATATTTGTATGTAACTTCCTGTGTTGCAGTTTGTTCTCATTGCCCCTTATCCTAGTGCTGCATATTGATTAGATCCCCTCTCACCCTTCTCTTCCAGGCTGAACAGTTTCATGTCACTCAGCCTGTCCTCACGAGGGAGATGCTCCAGGACCGTCAACATTTCTGTGGCTTCCTGTTGGACCCTCCCTAGAAGTTCCCTATCCTTCTTGAACTGGGCCCAGAACAGGACACAGTATTCCAGATGCGGTCCCACTGGAGCAGAGTAGAAGAGGAGAAAAGTTTTCCATGCAGCACCTCCTAACAGCAGAGACACTGAACCATGCAGCAGGTGCCACTGAACCATGTGGCACCTGATCTGCAGCCCACAGACCTCAGCTCCATGTTTTGTGGATGAATGTTTCTGGGTCTCTAAGAATCAGGCAGAGAAAACTCGTCTGCTAACTCCCAAGAGTACTTTGCTGAGCCATCCAAATTGTCAAGCTGCAGATGCCATTGCAACTAACAGCCTATATTGTGGAAGTAGAAATATACTTGTGTATACTTTGAATAGCAAACTTCAGATATCTCATTTGTAACTATTTCATGCCAATCCCTAAAAGTGACGTTGTAGGAAACCGAGGCTCCTCACCATGCGGTGGTCGAGCACGCCGTACTGCAGCGGGGCGTGGTGGTTGTCCTGGCTGTACAGGTTCTTGCTGACCACCTGGATGTGGGCCTGCTGCCGCATCTCCTCTGGGGATTTCATCCCGAAGCAGATGTGGCTTCTGGGAGGCGAGAGTTCACATAGGGTCATTCAGGGCTGACTGCGCACACGCGGCCCCCCCGCCCACACCACCGCTTTTCCCAACGGCCCCTCCAGCCACCCGGTCTCAGTTGCCTCCCGCGCCACGGTCCCGCTCACATTTTCTTGGCCACATCGCTCTCGCGGAACTGCTCCTTCACCATGGCGCCGGCGGCACGGAGATTGCATGCGGCGACAGCGGCAGCAGACCGCCTACCATAGATCGATGGGAACGCGATGGAGAGAGGGATAGAGAGAACGACGCAGCGCCCTTCTGCAGCGCCCCCTGTTGGAGAGAGCGCACGGCCTCCCGCAGGTGCGGGCGCCGAGGCTCCGCGCCAGTCCCGTATTTCCCAGTCTTCCTCACCGGGTGCAGGACAGAACAAATCGGCAAACGAGCAGAACCGGATCACAGCGCGAGCCTACTGAGGTACCCCACTTAGTACGGAACCCTCACGTGAAGCCCCGCCAATACGGTCGCACATTTTCTACCCAGCTCCGGCACTGGAACAGCCAGACTCGCTCATGGGCCCGCCCCCAGCTGAAGGTCCTCAGCGCCGCCTTATGATTGGCTGCGCGGCGGCGCCACTTCCTTTTCTCGTTCGCTGGCACGGTGGGAGCTGACAAGATGGTGAGTGTGGGGCTGTTGAGGTTGTGCTATCCGTCCTGCTGTGCTGCCATCCGTGCTCTGAGAGCCTCCTGGGAAGCAGCGTCCTGCTGGGCTGGCTTGCCTGCAGGGGGCTGCGCGGGTATGGCGTGCGGCGGATGGGGGACGGTGCTGCTTACAATCGGGATTCCTGCGGCCTGGTTGATGCCGCTAGGAGCTGTGGGGAGCGACTGGGCGTGTGTTGGGCCTGCTGGGCGGCCTCCGTGCTGCCGGGGGGAGCGGCCGTAGGCGCAGGTGGCGCTGAGGTACCGAAGTGCTGTGTCTCTGCGTTCTGGGTGGAGCGCGGTGGGTCGTACTCGCATCTTAGTTCTTTAGTGCTTCCTATCTGAAAAGTCCTATCAGGACAAATTGTGTAGCTTTCATAAGGATTCTTGTTATAGTGCCCGGAGGTAATTAAAGGTGTGGAGCGTTTCCTGCATGAGGAAAGGCTGAGAGGCTTGAGGTCTTCTTCCTGGAGGAGGGAAAGCTGAGAGGGCAATGCATCGCTGTTTATAGATATCTAAAGTATTGAGTTGATGGGGGGGGTAGGTTTTTTTTCAGTGATAAGCAGTAGTAGGATAAGAGGTAATGGGCAGCAACTGGAGCATAGGAGATTCTGTACTAATGCAAAGAAGAATTCCTGTATCATCAGAGTGGCAGGCACTGGAACAGGCTGCTCAGAAGTTGTGGAGTCTCCACATCTGGAGATATCAAGACCTATCTGGAAGTCTACCTGTGTGATCTGCTGTAGGGAACCTACTTTCGCAGAGAGTTGGGCTCAGTGATCTTTGAGGTCCCTTCCAACCCTGATAATTCTGTGAGTTTGTTAGAGTTTCTTTTTTGTAGTCTATGTGTTTGAATAAAACTATTTCCCCATGTTAAAATAAAGGGGATATATATGCTTCTGTCTGGCTCATGGGCTGGGAGTGACTGTTCTTCAGTGTACTTTAGTTCTGTAAGGTGAATCCTATAGCATGAGACAAATGTGTTTAATTGGGATGCAGCTGACTTCAAGTAGAGTGCTGACTGCAGTGGTGTCATGCATTACATACACATTAGGCTTTGTAAACTATGGTTTTGTATCACTTCTATGTACTCTGTTTTACAGAATGACACAGTGACCATAAGAACTAGGAAGTTCATGACAAACAGACTGCTTCAGCGCAAGCAGATGGTAAGAAAAACACTCAATACTATCTTCAGTTGTTTATTGGCTCTTGACTGCATGTATTTTAGATCATTATAAGCAAGGGGCCTTAGAAGTGTTAACATTATCAGGTGTGTAGAGGTTTATACACATTCCTGCATGCTGAAGGTAAATCGTTGTGATGGGATAGCAAGCTGACCTGTGATTTGAAGCAGGAAACTGTTAGGATTAGATAAATGATGCTTTGTATGGCTAGGATGGCCTAGTTCAGGTTTTGAGTTTAGGGTGGGAGTCCAGTTGTTTTATTGGGTATTGACTGGCTTTTATATGACTTTTAAAAAATTTTTTTAGGTGATTGATGTTCTTCATCCTGGGAAGGCCACAGTCCCCAAAACAGAAATCAGGGAAAAGCTGGCGAAAATGTACAAGACAACCCCTGATGTAATATTCGTGTTTGGCTTCAGAACTCACTTTGGTGGTGGCAAGACAACAGGCTTTGGCATGATCTATGATTCCTTGGACTATGCAAAGAAAAATGAACCAAAGCACAGACTTGCCAGAGTAAGTTATTTGTTCCATAGTAACTAGAAAATAATTTGGATGACTTTCAAGTATTTAGTAGTTCATTTTCATGTGGGAAAAAAAACAAGCAACATACCTGTAGTCTTGTGGGGGTATTGCTGTGCATAGGGAATTTAGTGTTATGTAAGAGGTCTTAACATAGTATGGATTAGCTTTTGCATTAGAAAAATAAATTGCTTCTGGTATAATTAGGTATAATAATAAGGTAGAATTGGGATGGCAAAACTGATATTACTTGTGATCTTCTGCAAAGAAGGATTCCTTATCCATTGCTAAAACTCTGTAACCATAAACAATGGGGCTGGTCCTTGCAAGATCTTAGTTTCCTTTATTTTATCATCTGTTAATGAAATTGTCTTGCTCTTTAGCTGTTATTTCATTGAAACAGTACTTGGAAAGTCTAGCAATACTAAAACAATTGTATTTCTTAGAATGAAAACTTTGGTTACTACCACTGAACAGATATTGAATACAACTGTTTTTTTATTAGCATGGTTTGTATGAGAAGAAGAAGACTTCTAGGAAGCAGCGGAAGGAACGTAAGAACAGAATGAAGAAAGTCAGGGGTACAGCTAAGGCAAATGTTGGTGCTGGCAAGAAGGTATGATGAGATTATCTGTAGGCTAGAGTTGGCATGTTATTATTGAAATGTTAATAAGAAGTTATTCAATAGAATAACCTTGTCTTTCTTCCATTTCTTTTACCTGTTCTACTGGATCACAGAAGGTAATCTGTGTGGTCATGTATAGCTTGTTAGCTCCATAGCTTAGTTCTGCTCCTCACTGCTGCAGCTGATAAAACATGAGGCAGTGCTTCTTAAATGATTGTTTCTTACATGTCACTTGAACTAAAGTTAAGCTTTCTTAAACCTAACAGTAATGCTCTAATCTCATAACTCAGTAATACTGTATACAAATTACTCTACTTAATGCTAGTTACTCAGACTACCTAAATATCTAACATGTATTCTATTAAGTTAGTATTCTTTTAAGTTTTAAGGATTTGTTGTAGGTGGTGAAGACTGTAAGTAGAAATAAGAAACAATAATTGCTTTATATTGGTTCTAAGGGGCTGATTAACAACTGGGTTTTCTTGCTGCTGGGAGCTTTCTATGCTGTGGGCTGCAAGTCTGTACAAATCTAGAAAGCATGCAGCTTGAGAAGAGACCGAGTTCCTTTATGATGAAGCAAAATCATCAAAACTGAGGAGAAAACAGTATGAAGATGGTCACTTTGCCTAGCAGCTTCTTGCACTTAGTTAACACTGAGTGGGCTTGTGCTGCTAATTGAGTTTTGCAACTGCATTTGAATAAGAGGAGGTTGTTGGGTTTATTGCATAGATCTGTAACTGTTACATTGCTTTGACATCTTGAACTTCAGTAATCTTCACTTCTGCTTTTTTTCCTACTTTCTTGGGATTCTCCATCAGAAATGAAGTATCTAGCAGGTACTGAAAATGAGCATGGATGTGACTGAACTATACATCACTGAAACACTTTTTTTTTTTAATCATGTCACATTGAAGCACTGTACTCCCTTGCATGCTTATATGCTAGCTTTGAACTTCTATCTTGTACAGGTTCAGATGACTATATAGTAAGTTTGTTCTGAGCTAGTGAAATGACATGGAAAATGTGGAGTTTCCAGTAAGAAGAAGGCAGGACAACTCATTGCTTTTGATACATTTGTTCAAAATACTGCAATTCTGGTTTGGAGTAGTGTAGTGTAATTGCATGTGTAACTTGACCTTAAGACAAAAATACCTGTGCATCTTTATGAAGTCTTAAGTCACAAAACAGCTTAGTGGAGGTGGGCCAGTAGTTGTAAACTGCTTCTGTTGTCAGCATTAAACTTCTAACTATTCTAAGCTGCTCTGGAATTTTGTTTTGTATAAATGAAGTTCTTGCAGTCACTGGATAGATGAGGATGCTATTAGCTGTGATCTGGAACGTTTTTCATCTTTTCATTTCAATGCTGGTTGAATAGTGAAGTCATACATTGTTTAAAGTAGGAAGGTACGAAATATCCTTTACTGCAGTTGTAACATTAGCATGCATCTATTGTGAATGCTGAGGGGAGTCAGTGCTGCACTGATACCTGGTATGGGAAATTCCCTTGAGGAGTTTTGGCACTTGAAGGTAGCTGTAAACAGTCTTGTATTTTTACACTTGTCAACTGTTATTTGAGTTAAAGTTTTCCAGTTCATTTAAAATCTCCTTAACTCTATGAGCATTTTTGAGATCAGGAGTAGGGATGTATGCTGTGATAATTACGCAGCAAATGTGGCATATTTATCAAATGCTTGTCAAACTAGCATGCCTTCTTAGTAGTAAGGGGACAGCATTTTGATGTAAGAGTTTTTTGATGTCCTTTAAAATTATCTTTGGGTATCATGTGGGTATGCGTAGTTAAGATCTTGTTCTTTGTTCGGCCATCTTTGTTGATCCTTGTCCATGTGTTAATAACTAAGGACAAATTAATTAACATGCCTTCTGGAAAATCTGTTTGGGGAAAATTGTTGTATCACAGAAAGGAATTGCAGAATACACTCCTGCCTTAAAGCTTTGTCTTGTAAAATGCATGCTTATACATAATTGTGCCATAACATCCTTATTCACAGCTGTCTGCAATTTCATTAGGAATCATGAAATTTTAGTGTCCACCTATGTGGTCTGTGAGAATTGTTTAAATCAGAAGTTTTTAGGCACTTGATTAGACCTCTTCAGGAAAGTAACATTTTTTTTTAAGGATAAAACCCCATGACTTCTAACGCCAAGCCATTTTGACAGGTTTTGGCATGTGGATTCTTTAACAGAAATGTTTGGGTTTTTTTTTAAACATGATCAAACAGTAATATGGAGGGATGAGCACTTAAAACCAATGTAGCCTTCAGCTATAAGTGAATACATAATTGCATCCTGAGAGTTACTTAAGCTCTGTACAGTCTTTGTTAGATTCCATTTTAAGCTTGAGGGAATGCATGAAATCCAAGTGTTTAGCTTTTATGGTAATAAAAATTCAGAGGTTTTCCTATCACTTGTAATTGTGGTAACTGGAAAAAGCAAATTGTGTTTTCAAGTCTGTGTCATTTACAGTAGTGGAATATTAATAAAACTATTCTCATCAAATGGTTTT